AAACACTGAACTACAGCAATGGCAAGCATGTCGCTTTTAAACCAATCCAGTGGAGTTTTCCTTATGAAAGGCTGGAGTGACAGCAAACATGGAACCTCCATGCAGAAGAGCAATCTACCGAAAATAAGCAAAGGAAGAGGAGGACTTTGGGGAACACCTGGAGGCCATGGAAACCACAAAACGGTGAGCTGAAGGGATCTCTATCTGCTGGGAAAGGTGCAAGGCTCTTCTTAGATGCCCTCCCCATCCGACCACAGAGGACGCCCAAGGCGCTCCTTTCCAGCCTGGCTTACCCGTTTTTTTGGCAGAATAGTTTCTGACCGTCAGCCGTGACCAGGAAAGGTTGGAGAGCGAGGAACAGACAGCAGCCCGCAGCTGCACCCCAACCAAAGCCATGCGACCTCCAAACCTATCCGCTTGCTGGGTCTGGAGGCTTCAGACGCACGGAGTCGGCGCAGAAACAGAGAGCGTTCTGGGAAACGTAGTTCACCTCCCTCCCCCCCGTTCCTTTTGCGACCGCCGAACGCGGATTACAATGACAACTTACATCATCCTTCCCCAACCGGGTGCCCGCCTCAAACGTGCTGCATCGCAAGATCCGTCTTCTCCAGTCCGCCTGAACAAATATTTCATGGGTTTTCTTCCAGGGAAAAATCCCCACAGAATCCTGCACTTACGAAATATTATTCGTTATAGTTGACGTCCAAATGGAAGACACTCCCACCATCCCCAACCAGCTTCGTCAGCTGGGGGCAGTCATTGAAGCCCAATCTTGATGGCATATTGTAGATTTGCTCAGAAAAGTGTCTATTAGAATATATTGGATTCTGATATGTCACAACCAGAGAATCTGTTACCGATGCAGTTCATTTCCTTCCCTATCATAATTATTCTGATTTTTCATGATAGTATATTTGTACATTATTTTTAAAAAGTTCACTATATCTTAGATGAGTAAAATAGAATTTCTGTATTCCAAGAGATATTTGGTTTACAACTCAATCCTCGGCAAAGATGAAAATTTGTACAGCTCAAATTAATCCCTCTACACAACGAAAATAACTACATTGTTATTTTTCTTCATCCCACCTGACTCCAAGTGATTCAGCTATTTTTATTTCTAATTTTCAGTGTGGTTTTTGACCACTCAAAAACCACTCGATTATAAATAAATTTTACTAGTACTGTAGTATTTATACCTCAGGCCTAGGGAACTTGGGCAACTTCCAAATTTCCAGTCCCCCTTCAACAAAGAATAATTTGTGGGTTGATGTTTACACACCTGAACATTATTTTTAGGTTAGAACCCACTCATTTAAAATTCCTGATTTAAAAATTATGTTGGCTGGCAGATGCTGTTGAATTATAGTCCACATCTCTTATAATCAGTAGGACTTTAAATATACTGCTCAAAAAAATAAAGGGAACACATCCTATAAGAAATCCTATAGGATGTGTTCCCTTTATTTTTTTGAGCAGTATATATTAAGGGTGAGAATAAGGTTCAAGAAGGCAGTATTTTCAACATTAAGCAAAAATTAAGAACATGGAGGCATACTTGTCAAACTGACAAGAGGAAAATTCAAAAGTAATGTTAAAGTTGGAATTAAGATTGCCGGGAGAAATATCAACAACCTAAGATATGCAGATGATACCACTCTGATGGCAGAAAGTGAAGAGGAACTAAAGAGCCTCTTGATGCAGGTGAAGAAGGAGAGTGCAAAAGTTGACTTGAAACTCAACATTAAGAAAACCAAAATCATGGCATCCGGCCCTCTCAATTCCTGGCAAATAGATGGGGAAGAAATGGAGGTAGTGACAGATTTTATTTTTCTGGGCTCCAAGATCACCTCAGATGGGGACTGCAGCCAAGAAATTAAAAGACGCTTGCTCCTGGGGAGGAAAGCTATGGCAAATCTAAACAGCATTCTAAAAAGCAGAGACATCACCCTGCCAACAAAAGTGCGTATAGTCCAGGCCATGGTTTTCCCAGTTGCAATGTATGGCTGTGAAAGTTGGACCATAAGAAAGGCTGAGCGCAAAAGAATTGAGGCCTTTGAACTATGGTGCTGGAGAGGACTCCTGCGAGTCCCTTGGACTGCAAGGCGTTCAAACCGGTCAGTCCTAGAAGAGATCAACCCCGACTGCTCTTTAGAAGGCCAGATCCTGAAGTTGAAACTCAAGCACTTTGGCCACCTAATGAGAAGGAAGGATTCACTGGAGAAGAGCCTAATGTTGGGAAAGATTAAGGGCAATAGAAGAAGGGGACGACAGAGAATGAGATGGCTGGGTGGAGTCACTGAAGCAGTAGGTGTGAATTTAAATGGACTCCAGAAGATGGTAGAGGACAGGAAGACCTGGAGGAATATTGTCCATGGGGTCGCGACGGGTCGGACACGACTTCGCAATTAACAACAACAACAACAATGTTAAAAAGTACTCCTTCACAGAAAGAGTACTGGAAGCTTGGAACCAACTTCCAAGAGAGGTTGTGGGTTAGTCATCAGTAACCGAATAACAGAGTTGGAAGGGACCTTGGAGGTCTTCTAGTCCAGGGCTTTTCAACCTTTTCACCATTGTATCACTTTTAGGATATGGCAACATCCGAGTACCACCAGTCGCCTAGCAAGGTGACAAAAAAAAAAAGGAAAAAAGTGATAAAGTACAGGTAGTCCCCGACTTACAATAGTTTGCTTAGTGACTGTTTGAAGTTACAATGGCACTGAAAAAAGTGTCCCCCAAGCCACAGCCGAGCAAGACGCCTGCCTGCCCACCCAGTGGCGCTCTTCCTCCTGTCCTAGATTTTAATTGTTGTGAGCATTTCTGTTGAGGATTGGTAGCGGGGGTGGGGTGGGGGTGTTTGGTTTTTATTCCCCTTGTCTGCTGGGTGGTTGCAGCAGGTTTTGATCACTTCACATGATCCCGGGACACTGTGACCATCATAAATATGAATCAGTTGCCAAGCATCTGAATGTAAATCACAAGACCCTGGAGATGCTGCAATATTCCAGCTGATTGGCGCTTCCTCTGGGCCCAGCTGGAGCCTGGCACTGATCCTGGCACTTCCACTGAGCCCTGATAGTCCCAAAGAAGCGCTGATCCTGGCACTTCCGCTGAGCCCTGACAGCCCTGCAACTCCAGCCGTCTCTCACTCAGGCTTGTGCGGTGCTGCCACCGGTTCAGCTCATTCCCCTCCCCCACTACCACTTTTCTAGGATGGTTGCGTACCTGCTGCCAGGTGCCAATGTACCACAGGTGGTACCCGTACCACTGGTTGAAAAGCCCTGTTCTAGTCTGATTCCCTGCTCAAACAGGAAACCTTATATACCAGTGATGGCGAACCTTTTAGAGACCGAGTGCCCAAACTGCAACCCAAAACCCACTTATGTATCGTCAGGTGCCAGGTGGGTGTGGCCCATTGGGTGGGTGTGGCCCATTGGGTGGGCGTGTTCCATTGGGAGGGCATGGCCCATTGGGTGGGCATGTCTTCGGTGGTAACGGCAGACTAGACAGGACTAAAAAGTTCGATCAATTCCAACTTTGTGAGATCTTTTTTTTCCCGTGAGAAGTTGACATTGATTGATTGATTGAACCTCAGTCCTAATAGGTAGTCAAATATGTCCAGTTACAAATGGTGATCAGATGATCCCAGGATGCTGCAACCATCATAAACACATGCCAGCTGCCAAGTGTCTGAAGTTTGATCATGTGACCTTGGCAAAGCTATGACGGTCATACGTGTGAATACCGATCATTGTCACTTCATTCAGCGCCATTGTGACTTCAAGCAGTTGCTAAACAAATGGTTGTAAGTTGTGGACTACTTATAATGAATCCGTCTTCCTATGATCTGGCGCAAGGGTTCTTCTTCACAAGAATGAGGATCTAAAAGCTTATTGTTCATGTATGGCTTTCAGAACCCTTTTCAATCTGGGAACTGATTCTTAAATAAGATGATATTGTGAGTTTAAATGATTTTTAAAAACCCTGTCTTATTTTGTTTTTTTTAAATCGGTGTGGCCCAGCAGATTTTTTTCCCTGCTTTATATTCTAAGGCAAGGGTCTCAAACTTTTCAGGTTGTGAGGAAAAATAAATTCATCAAAAGGCAAAATTCTAAGACAGAAAATTGGCTGTGTTTGAGTGAACTTGTTTCCTTCCTTCCTTCCTTCCTTCCTTCCTTCCTTCCTTCCTTCCTTCCTTCCTTCCTTCCTTCCTTCCTTCCTTCCTTCCTTTCTTCCTTCCTTCCTTTGTTGCAGAACCTTAAGATTGCACAGAAAATAGTTGGAAAAGACCATAATCTGAAAAATGGAAATCTGGATTAAGAAGATGAGAGAACTTTTTGTTTGTACTATAGTACATTACATCCCTGAGCAAATAGCTTTACTGTAAGCCACCCAGAGCTACTCTATGGTAAGATAGGCGAGCAATAAATTTAATAAATAAAATAATATTATAGAATTAGAATACACCCTAACACAAACAAGTTGCCAGAGAACAGCAGATCGCTCAGAATCTAATTTTACTTATTCGGGATCTGTGACAAAAAGCGGAACAGCATCATAGATTTTTAAAGGCAATTCAATCCACGTCTTCAAAAGGCAACCTGATCAACAGACACATACTGTTCCAGGCTCTGCTTCATTTGACAAAGAAAACAGGTGAAATATGAGCAGGGTTTTGCATTACATCAGCAAACAGGATTGCAACGTCTGGTTTGTAGGAAACCAATTTCTTCAGAATGAAGAGGAAATAGACACAACTCTGCAACAACTAAATTCATTTTGGGGGGAAATGCATTTTAAAAAATATATACTTTTTGGTGACTTGGCGAAAAAATTGCAGACTTCTGAGTAACACAGAAATCTGGATCATCCCGTTATGAAAACTAGGCAAACTCTCCTTTTTAAAAAATTTGTAGGCAGATACATCTTTCACTTTGGAAAGCTAAACCTCACTGGCACGACAAAACTACATCTCCCAGAATCCTCTCTGAGCACATGCTCAATCCTAGTGGGAATTAGTGAGCGGGCGGGCGAGCGAGAGGGAACCCCAGGAAGAAAAATACGTGATTGAATATTTTTATATATGTTCAGCTTTAATCCGCAGTCTGCGGGCCTAATCCTGGCTGAGAGTCGGATGCCGGCCAGCAAGGGACTCCGAAGAACTTGCAAGTCACAAAGGGTTCAACTTTCTCTTCAAACTTGAGAGCCAAAGTTTTCTTAGAAGTAAGTTTGTCCAAGCGGATGCTTTCGTTTTAAGTTTTGCACCCACCCACCCACCCACCCCAAAAAGAGAGGGGGGGAAAAGGTTTTCTACAATGTGCAGATTCAGTTTTATTCTTTTAAAAAATCTATATTGTTGGAAACTTCTTTAGCCCCTGTCTAGATCATTGGGAACTTTTTGAAGTGGAATGTTTTGAAAACGGGCTCTTGATTTCCTAAAATTGTTTATTTCTTTTCGAGATCTATAAACTTTCCCATTTATGGGGGGGGGGGTTAAAGGGACTGAGAGAGAGAGATGAATACGTAAGTTTAAAAGAGAAGAGCATCAGGTAAATAATGATATCCGAGGGGTAGTGAAAACAATCTGAATCAGACTGAAGAAAAGTGGAAAATAAATTCAGAATTCAGAACAATTTGTGCAGAGAGAGGCTTTAAACCTAGAGATTTTCTTTTAAATAAACATGCTAAGAATTTCTCTGTCCTATGGCAGCAAAAAATGGTTCACTCTTCACACTGTGTATTTGGTAGCTGTTTTTCTTTTTCCTCTTTAAATATGGGACGATCATTGCATTTCCGCAGCTAATCTTTAGCCGCAGCAATAAATCAGTTATATGGTACTTGACTTTAGCAACCAAACCACACTGTATGTATCTCCTTCGTTTTTAAAAAAGCAGACGTTGCATAATTTCTTCCCTATTCTGAAGCAAATAAGTGTCAGCCAGATTATTGGTCGCTAGCTTTTTAAAATCGATCCTGTCAGCAGATACAGCATAAAACTGCAGTATAACAATCCTAACAAAGCAAGTTTTATGAAAGGACCCCAAAGGATGATGCTATTTTTAATGTCTTTCCATTAAAATTCCTACTGCCCAGCATATGTGCTGCATTTGTGTGGATTTTAAACCTCGCTGCCTCTACAAAGGGGATCATTGAGAAACAAGGAGAAACTGTCCCTTCAAATTAAGAGGACTGAAAGCAAAACTTCTTTAATTAAAATAAAATAAAATCAGGCAGGCAACTTTTAAAGCAGAGACAACTGAGCATGCTCAAATAACCATGGAATGTTGATTGACAGTTTTGAAAAAAATATTGAGTGGGTGGAATGAAAGCGAATTCAGCTGATTGGGACTTTGAACAGAATTTCTTGGTGTTGTTGTGTTTTAGTGCAATTGCTGTGTAGCGTTAGTGAACTTTGCCTAGGATGATGGCCTTGGAGATTGAGTCTATGTATGTCTGTTTGGAAAGTAGCCATCCTGTTTTCAATCCATCTTTTTGCCACCATATTTTCTACATCCTGGAACGTTCTCACGGCAGTAAAACTTAGCAGTTTTTTAAACGGCATATCTTACCTGTGTTTACCTGGAAAAAGCCTGATTGTGTTTAATGAATCTTGCCCTTAATCAAATGCATTTAAGGTAGACTGGGGTTCATATGGTATATTATCTAGGGCTGACTTTTGTATATCTGTGTTTTAATATCATGGTCTTCCTCCCCTTACATTATAGAAGTTTCATTTTTCATTTCCTTTTTTTGTTTGTTTGCATTTTGGGAAAATCCAATCTTGTCAGGACTAGAAATTTTTTCTGAGGATGAGCCTAAAAAGCCTATTTTTTTTGTAATTAATCTCAAATCCCATGGTCTTTTGCAGATAAATTCTACCATGCTTTTTCTCCATATTGGTGAACTAAGCTATTTTTGGATATAGTTTTAATGTTCTGAAAAGTGCTAGATCATGTTCAGAAATAGCCTGCCTCATGGTCCATGCCTGTGGTCTCTTATCTGAGCAGTTTAAGCCCTTACTTTGAAGTACAGGTAATCCTTGACTTACAACAGTTCATTTAGTGACCATCTAGTTATAATAGCACTGAAAAAAGTGACTTATGACTGTTTTTCACACAGCTGTTGCAGCATCCCCATGGTCATGTAATCAAAATTCAAATGCTTGGCAACTGACTCACGTTTATGACGGTTGCAGTGTCCCGGGGTCATGTGATCCCCTTTTGCAATCTTCTGACAAGCAACAGCAATGGGGAAGCTGGATTCACCTAACAACCATGTTTCTAACTTAACAACTGCAGTGATTCACTTAACAACTGTGGCAAGAAAGATTGTAAAAGGGGGCAAAACTCACTTAACAACTGTTTTGCTTAGCAACAGAAATTTTGGGCTGAATTGTGGTCATAAGTTGAGGACTACCTGTGTTCAACTACCCTGAGACCTGCCCACCATGCATTCAGAATAATGACTGATTTCTCCCTCCCCCCCCCCCCGTGAAGTTGAAGCCTTGTGAGAAAGGGAATGAAGTGAAACTCCTGATTCTACCTGAATTCAAAATTACACACTCCCATTTTGTTTCCAAGTGTAGGGTCATTGTTGTCGCGACCTGCAGGAGTGATCACAATGAACAGTAGCATGGAGGTTAAGAAAGATACAACGGAGCGGTTTGGGATCCCCTCAGAATCTGTAGTGCCTCCCCCCATGGATTTGGAAGATGAGATTGAGGCTCCTGTTGATCCTGGAGAAGATGCTTCCATTATCCAACAATTGCCCACCTCTCCTGGAGACAACCAGGCCCTCCAGAAGCTTCCAGAGCTGGATTCAGGGTCCAATTACCTCAGAGCAGAAGAGATCAGGATTGGCCTGGATGGGGATGGAGAGTCCAGAAGATGTTTAGAACCCCAGGATGTCACTTCTTTGGATCCTGAGGTGTCCAGGTAAAAAGTCTTATTTATTTATTTATTTATTTATTTATTACAATTTATAGACCGGGCGGCTAACAATAGGACTCCGGGCGGCTAACAATAAAAACACAATATAACTTAACAAGACAAACAATACAGTAACATTCATCCAGGGGTCAGATTTTATAAACCCCAGGTCTGCTGGAAAAGCCAGGTCTTAAGCAGCTTGTGGAAAACCAACAGGGTGGGAGCGGTCCTAATCTCTGGGGGGAGCTGGTTCCAAAGCGTGGGCGCCATCACAGAGAAAGCCCTCCCCCGCGGCCCCGCCAAATGGCACTGCTTGGCTGACGGGACCTGAAGGAGGCCCAACCTGTGGGATCTAACCGGACGAAGTGAACTATGAGGTAGTAGGCGGTCTCGCAAATAGCCTGGCCCTGAGCCATATAGAGCTTTAAAGGTAATGACCAACACCTTGAATTGGACCCGGAGACCAATAGGCAACCAGTGCAGCTCGCGGAGGATAGGTGTAACGTGGGTGTACCGAGGAACACCCACAATCACTTGCGCGGCTGCTCTTCTGTTTCACATTTTATTCATTATTTATCTATGTATTCTTACTATGGTGTAGAAATGGAATGGATCAGTGGTCTCCAACCTTTCCAGCTCAGTGGACCAGCAGTGGCAGGGGGAGAGGAGATGGTTTCTTCAGCATCACATGTGCATTTGTGCACTTGCCCACCACTTCTGCGTCCCAGGCTGCAGTCTGGCACTGGGCTGTGGACCAGGATTTGGGGACCCCTTGGATGGATGGGTGGATGGATCCACACGCACGCCCCCCTCCCCCATGCACACACACACACCTCTAGTATATGGAGGTTGACAATTGGACAACATAAATGGATTCTCCATGTGTCTTGTATATTTCTTGCTTCAAAAATGGGAGAAACTATCCCTCTTCATTTCTAGCAATGAGAAGGAGCTCCTCATGTTCATCTTCAAATTGCTCACTGTGGTTCAGAGTTTTGTGCAAACAACCACTGCAGCTGGTCCAACAAAGCATAGTTAAAGCAAATTACGACTCAACGAGATAGAACAGACTAGAACTGGAAGGGACCTTGGAGGTCTTCTAGTCCAGGCCCCTGCTCAAACAGGAGACTCTATACCATTTCAAACAAGTGACTGTCCAGTCTCTTCTTAAAAACCTCCAGTGATTAAGACCCACAATTTATATATGAGCAGACAGCTTCTCTTGTGACTTGGAGGAAAGTTAAGTGTTTGGGTTTCCTCAACAGGAATGGTATGGAGGAGGGTGCCAAAGCTTCAACTCAGGAAGAGAACATATGCTGGACATCCAAACCAGACCAGGTCTCCACAGAGGTAGAGGGTAACCTCAAGACTTCTGTTGACCAGGGTGAAATTCTAAAGGAGCTAGAGGAGAAGGATGTGGAAGAGGAGATTCCAGAGGCTGACCAGGCCGAGTTCTTAAAGCTTTTTGCCCAGCTGCAGAGACTTAACCCTGGCTTCCATGACAAGTTGCCCACTTCTGAAGATGACCTCTTGGCTGCCTCTGACAGCGAGGAAAGCCACGGGTTAGGAGATGGAGACAGGCGACCCCTCCTTGAGCATGCTGAGGACCTCCAGGGACCTCCAGACAAAGGTGCCCCTTCTCTACTCCATGTGGCCACAGGGCAAGGCCTTCGGGCAGCTGCTCAGCATCTCCTGAGATCTGTCCAGGGACAAAGAAGTGGAGAATTGCTTTCCTCAGAAGCCAACCGGGAGGACTTCCTCAGCCTCCTCCATTATGAAGGGGGCATATCCATGGAGGAGGATGACCGGATCGCTCTCGTACATTCAGATGTGATGATTGGAATTGGCTGTCAGAAAATGGAAGTTGAGGGAAGGGCTGTGGCCCCAGAGAAGGTCCCTTCAGAGCCTGCCTGTGATGATCTGGAAGAGAGAAGAAGGAAAGTGCGTAGGCCCAGCCCGAGGCTGCTAAAAGAATCCACTGGCTTGGAAGCAGCTGCATCTTCTGACTCCAACTTGGAGGCCAGCAGCTGGGAAGGCTCCCCCAATCCAAGTTGGCTAGCGGTGGGGGAGCCCGCGCTGAACCGCACAGAGGATTCCTCTCCCACCTCCGATCCAGTGGTGAGTATCTTGCATGGCAATGTTCACACATGTTACTTTCAAAGTCATCAAGGGGCCTTGATGGCTTTATTGACGTAGCACCTTGTGGGTTGTTGCAAACTATGCTTTGTGGCTTAGCACCGTGGGCAAACGCTGCTGTTGCTTGTTAAACCAAGCTTGGTTTGCCTTTATGAGGTTATGAAATCGTTGTAAACCAGAATGTGGTTTCCTTGGTTTTGTCTTAGTTCTTTGTTGTGTGACTCCTGCCAACTGAATAATTATACAGTAATAGGAATTAAATCCGTGGCCCACATCCTGCCTGCAGGCTGTCCCTGTCCAACCCACGGCAGAGGAGGCAGGGCAGTGGTAGGGGTGAGGGCATCAGGGTCGGGAGGGTGGGCGTAGTGGTGGCAGCCATAATAACAACAACAGCAACAACAACAACAACAACAACAACAACAATAATAATAATAATAATAAGTTGGAAGGGATTTTGGAAGTCATCTAGTCCAACCCCCTGCTCAGGCAGGAAACTCTATACCATTTCGGACAAATGGCTGTCCAGTCTCTTCTTAAAAACTTCCAGTGTTGAAGCATTCACAGCTTCTGGAGGCAGGTGGTTCCACTGATTAATTGTTCTAAATGTCAGGAAGTTTCTTCTTAGTTCTAGGTTGCTTCTCTCCTTGATTAGTTTCCATCTGTTGCTTCTTGTCCTGCCTTCAGGCACTTTGGAAAATAGCTTGACTCCCTCTTTTTGGGGCAGCCCCTGAGATATTGGAACACTGCTATCCTGTCCCCCCTCATCCTTCTCTTCATTAAACTGGACATACTCAATTCCAGCAACTGTTCCTTATATGTTTTAGCCTCCAGACCTCTAATCATCTTTGTTGCTCTTCTCTGTACTCTTTCTAGAGTCTCAACATCTTTTTTACATAGTGGTGACCAAAACTGTATACAGTATTCCAAGTATGGCCTTACCAAGGCATTGCAAAGTGGTATTAATATGTCACATGATCTTGATTCTATCTCATCTACAACAATCCTAGTTTGCCATGCGTCCTCTTGGGAAAATTAGTTGTCCACCCCTGAATTAAATCATAGTTGACCCATTTACAGGGCAATGGCCCTTAGTTACATTAAATGTTCAATGTTAAAACAATTACGGAGGAAAGACAACAAAATGAGAATTGCATTTAGGTAGTCCTCGACTTACAACTGAAATGGAGACTGCCCATCACGGATATAAGTGGTGGCGGTCATAAATTGGGTGACCTCTGTGACCGATCTGATTTTATGACTAATGGTATAGTATGGGCCTGTTTTTCTGAAAAACAAAAATGATGGTTTGCGGCAAAACCATTATAAAATGCCATCATGTGACTATGGCACACTGTAAACAGCCATAAAAGTGAACCAGTTGTTGAGTACCTGAGATTCAGTCATGTGACCATGGGATGGGCATCAGAACTGGGTCGTAAGCACCCCTGGGGAGTCCGTCGTAACTTCAAATGGTTGCTAAGCAACTGATCACAAAACAAGGACTATCTGTGTATACCCTGCTTTGGATGTAGAAATTATGGGACTGATGTATCCAGCTGGAATTCAAATACCAGAGGTATCTTTGCCTTCCCACTATCTTTTTATGTGTAATTAGCTGTCTTAGGTTAAGGAACATGTAATCAAAATCCAAAATAATTGAAAGGTGCCACTTTAATAATTTTATGCACTCATTACGTAAGTATCCAGCCGCAAACCAAGTAATCTTGGAGACTGTCTCCAGAAGTTGTTTAGGATAAGCTGCCTTCCAGTTAGACTGATCGCCTTATGGTAAAAAAAACCCAGTGATATCAGGTGTACATTGTGACATCATGACACAAACATAAATTATATAGTTTGTATCAGTTGTGCAAAGTCATTATGATGTGCTTGCTGTAGAAGGATTAGTACTGTACATATCTAACCTTGGCTAATCCCAGAAGCTAAGCAGGGTTGGGCCTGATTAATATTTCGATGGAAGTCCTCTAAACCAGGGGTGTCAAACTCACAACGTCACGTGACATGTTGTGATGTATCACAACTTTTTTTCCATTGCCAGCAATGGGGTGGGCATGGTTTCGCCATGACGCATCCGGCCCGCGGGCTGGCAGTTTGACACCTCTGCTCTAAACAATTCCAGTGCTGTTGTCTAGACTGGGAAGTTAAAAAAAAAAAATCAGAAAAAGGCAGGGGGAAATATCAAGAAAACAGCATGGATGCTGACACCAGCAATCAAGGTTTATCTAGCTTTGTAGTAAAATGTGCTCAGATCAAATTTCTAAAATAAAATATTATGCGTTCAGAGTTTGAAGGGGATTAATTGCATACAGCTGCACTGTTTCCTGTAATTCTCATTTTTTAGTCTTTGAAGTTAGTTATTAAAGTAACTTTATATTGATTTTGTATCCTGTTTTTATTATGTAAAGTTGTAAGCTGCCTAGAGTCTAGTTGGTTTCAGGTGGTCAGATAAATTTCATAAATAAATAATTAAGATCTCTTCCTCAGCTTTACAAAGCCAGTTCTTTTCCCCCTTTCCTCTTTAACAGAATAAAGCCAATCTGTCATCTTTCCCACCTTATAAAGATGGTAAGTGAAGAATTTTAATTAATTTATTATATCGTGTGAACTTTGGGCCAGTCCCTCCCTCCCTCTCAGTCCAAAGAGCCAATCAGGTGTACTGGGGAAGGAGGCAGACTAACAGTGGGAGACCCAGGTTCTAGTTCTTCTTCAACCTCATTGGTTCACTTTGGGCTAGTCCCACCTTCTCAGCCCTAGAGCCAATCAGAGGTAGAAGTGAAGGTGCTGGACTAGCAATATGGAGACCCAAATTCTAGTTTTCCTTCAGCCACAGAAATTCATTGGTTGACTTTGTGCTAGTCCTTCCCTCTCAGTCCAAGAGCCAGTGAGGTGTGGAAGGGAAAGTGCTGGACTAACAGCAGAGAGACCCAGGTTCTCTTAGATACAGAAGCTCATTGGCTGAATTTGGTCCTGTCCCTCCCTCTCAGCTCAAGAACCAACAGGTGTAGTGAGAAAGGAGGTGGACTAAGAGTGGGAGACCCATGTTTTAGTTCTTGTTCAGCTACAGAAGTCATTGGTTGACTTTGGGATAGTCCCTCCCCTCTCAGCCCAAGAGCCAATGAGCTGTGGAAGGGAAAGTGCTGCAGAGAGACCTAGGCCAGTAGTGGCGAACCTATGGCATGGGTGCCAGAGGCGGCACTCGGAGCCCTCTCTGTGGGCACACGTGCTGTTGCCCCAGTCTTGCCTCCCCCTGTGACCCCCTCCTCTCCAGCAGCCCTCCTGAAGGAAAGTCACCCCCAAGCATGGCCCACACGGAGCAGTGCAGCCAAGGACACGGCAGCCAGGCAGTGTAGAGAAGACACTGCCCTCACACCCCATCATGCAGTTGATGCTGCAGAGGGTGTGGCCGCCATAGCGCTACTGGGCTGCCTGGGCAATCTGCAGCGGGCCCTAGAGGTGATGAGAGGTCCTGTGGCCAGGCGGGGCGGGAGATGAGGGGATAGAGCGGGGCGGGGCGGGGCAGGGGGTTGGAGTGGGGGCGGGGCCAGTTTTTGGGCACTCGGTCTCTAAAAGGTTCGCCATCACTGACCTAGGCTCTAATCCTCTCTTAGACACAGAAGCTCATTGGCTGAATTTGGGCTACTCCCTCCCTCTTAGCCCAAGAACAAATCAGGTGTAGTGGGGAAGGAGGCAGACTAAGAGCGCCTGGCTGAGGAATTCTGGGAGTTGAAGTCCATAATTCATAAAAGGGCCAAGTATGAAGACCCCTGTTCTAGTCCCTTCCATAGGAGGTTCCCTATGGAACTTTGGGCCAATTGTCTCATAGTGTAATCTACCTCACAGGGATGTTGTTAAAGGAGTACTACCTATGATACCTTGTGGTGATAATGGTGATGGCAATGGTGATGACAATACTTTTCTTAAACCAGCCTTTTCTGTATATCTCAGTCCCAGGCCCCTGTGAGCCCGAAGATCTGTTGGATGGGGTGATCTTTGGAGCCAAATATCTGGGTTCTACGCAGCTTGTTTCCGAGAAGAACCCATCCACAAGTGTCCGCATGGCACAGGCCCAGGAAGCTGTGGACAGGATTAAGGTGGGAAAGGGAACAGCAGGTGTGTGACACCTAGCGATAACTTTGATAGCTAGATCTACAAGTAGTTCTCGACTTACAACCACATTTGAGTCCAAAATTTCTGGGGCCAAGCGAGACGGTTGTTAAGTGAGTTTTGCTCCATTCTACGACCTTTCTTGCCACAGTTGTTATGGAATCATGCACTTGTTAGTAACACGGTTGTTCAGTGAATCTGGCTTCCCACTGACTTTGCTTATCAGAAGGTTCCAAAAGGTGATCACATGAACCCTGGGACACTGCAACCGTCATTAATATGAGTCAGTTGCCACCCGTCTGAATTTTGATCATGTCACTATGGGGATGCTGCAGTGGTGGTAAGGGTGAAAACGGTCACTAAGTGAACTGTTGTAAGCTGAGTACTTGTACTCATTTATATTGAAGAAAAGGGGGCTCTATTCCAGTTGCAGCAAAATGGAGCCTCCATGATCAAGAACAGCTTACCTTTTCAGTGCCGTCGCTGGAGCATTACAGTGGCGAGTACAGTGGTTGAGCTTCACCACCCCTAATATGGCCTTTGTGCCTTTGGTCAGCCATGTTGGGCTAAATTAAGCCAGATCTATTGGGGCCTTTCGGAGGCTCCATGCCACAATCACCTATTTTCCCTCCAATCCTGACCTCTTCACATGTTTTCCTTGCAATGCAGGCTCCTGAAGGAGAATCCCAGCCAATGACCAAAGTAGATCTCTTTGTCTCCACTCAACGGATCAAGGTCCTCACTGCTGACACACAGGTGCATGGACAGCTGCCCACTCAAGTCTCCATTTAGATCATTGAGGGCCAAAATGGTTGCTTTGGGGTTACGGGAGGATGGACGCTCACAAAACGTCCCCTAGCCAGAAGACCCACAGATGTAACTATTCCTTTGCTTCCTCCCTACAACCAGGATAGTCCCTGGTGTTCCATTTAACTACATCACTTTTTTTAGATGGGGGGGGGCTGGTTGAAATGTTGAGGCTGCATTGTGGTGGCTGCTGAGGGGGTTGCCCTCTCACAAAATGACTGGGGATAGGTTGACAGCAAGGAATTGCACTTTATTTTTGGACACAATATATATTTTTTAATTGTAGTCATTATAGTACAGGTAGTTTTCAACTTAATGATCACAACTGAGGCCAGAATTTTGATTATAAGTGGTTGAAGTTGGCCAGGCTTCATTTTACAACTGTTTTTATTATAGTCATTAAGCAAATCACCATGGTTGTTAATGAATCACATAGCTGTTAAGTGACACATGGTGTAGTAGTAAATCCAAATCCAACTTATTGAGTGGGCATTTTTTGTTGGAAAAATGGCAAAAAAGTCCAAAACATGATCACGTGACTTAGGACATTGCAGTCAGTCATAAATGTGAGCTGGTTGCCAAACGCTCAAAGTGCAAACTGCAGTGCTGTAGTTGTAACTTTGAGGATGGGTTGTAAGTAACTTTTTTCAAATCCATGGTAACTTTGATTGATCATTTAGCAATTGGTTGTAAGTGGGAGCAATACTTGTTCTAAAATTGAATTAACCACAAGCAGTGTCTTTAAATGTATTGGCACCACAAATCTACTTTTGTGTGATCTGTGATATATATTTGAGAAAACACACACACACATGCACACACACACAAATTTTAACTCCATATATTATTTTACATAGCTATGATTTTTGTATGCATTTTGGAAAATGACACATCACTTGAGATTTTTATGCCAATACGTTCTCTGAACCAAGCTTAGAACAGGGGTCTTCAAACTTGGCCCTTTTATGACTTGGGGACTTCAACTCCCAGAATTCCTCAGCCAACAAAGCTGGGAGTTGAAGTCCACAAGTCATAAAAGGGCCAATTTTGAAGACCCCTCCTGTAGAACAACATACTGGGGACTCCTGTATCAGGCAGAGGCCAGGCTGGCACAGGATGATGTAAGCCAGTGTTTCCCAAACTTGACCATTTTAAGGCATGTGGACTTCAACTCCCAGAATTCCTCAGCCAACAAAGCTGGGAGTTGAAGTCCACAAGTCATAAAAGGGCCAATTTTGAAGACCCCTCCTGTAGAACAACATACTGGGGACTCCTGTATCAGGCAGAGGCCAGGCTGGCACAGGATGATGTAAGCCAGTGTTTCCCAAACTTGACCATTTTAAGGCATGTGGACTTCAACTCCCAGAATTCCACAGCCAGCGTTGCTGGCTGTGGAATTCTGGGAGTTGAAGTCCTCATGCCTTAAAATGGTCAAGTTTGGGAAACACTGATGTAAGCTATAGTTCAGCACATCTAGAGGACACAGACAGTCCCAGACAATTGGAGAATATTCCGTGAAATGGCAACCTGTCACATCAATACTTCTGGTGTATTTCTTTCTTTCTACTTCTCTGGCCTTCTTCCTACCTTAGGAAACCATGATGGATCACCCCCTCCAGACCATCTCCTACATTGCCGACATTGGGAACATTGTAGTGCTCATGGCCCGTCGAAAGCTCCCTCGCCGGGCAGATGCTTCCACCGAAAAACAGCTGTACAAAATAATCTGCCATGTCTTCCACTCATCTGACGTGAGTGTGTGGGGAGATGTTGGTAGACAGCGCTGACAATCAGACAGATGTGCATCACTGCCTCAATTAGATTAGATCCTGTCTTACTGGAGTAACTGCATGCTTGAAAAGAAGCTTATTCTGCAACTGTAGGAATAGAATATAGAATATAGAATATAGAATAGAATAGAATAGAATAGAATAGAATAGAATAGAATAGAATAGGGAAAGGAATAAGAATAGAATATGGAAAGGAAATAGAATAGAATATGGAAAGGAAATAGAATAGAATAGAATAGAATAGGAATGGAATGGAATAGAATAGAATAGGGAAAGGAATAAGAATAGAATATGGAAAGGAAATAGAATAGAATAGAATAGAATAGAATAGGAATGGAATGGAATAGAATAGAATAGGGAAAGGAATAAGAATAGAATATGGAAAGGAAATAGAATAGAAATAGAATAGAATAGAATAGAATAGAATAGAATAGAATAGAATAGAATAGAATAGAATAGAATAGAATAGAATAGAATAGGGAAAGGAATAAGAATAGAATATGGAAAGGAAATAGAATAGAATAGAATAGAATAGAATAGAATAGGGAAAGGAATAAGAATAGAATATGGAAAGGAAATAGAATAGAATAGAATAGAATAGAATAGAATAGAATAGAATAGAATAGAACAGAATAATTGGAAGAGACCTTGGAGGTGGTGGTAATAATAATAATAATAATAATAATAATAATAACAACAACAACAACAACAACAACAACAACAATAATAATATAGATTTAGAAGGGACCTTGGAGGTCTTCTACAACTCCCTACTCAGGCAGTAAAACCCATACCAGTGATGGCGAAGCTATGGCACATGTGCCAGAGGCGGCAATCAGAGCCCTCTCTGTGGGCATGCGCACCCATGCAACCGTCCCTCTTCAACCAGCTGCCTGCTAATTTGCCGAGGTCCCACATGGCCAGATGCATCCCAGGATCCATGCACTCACTGACCTCTGTGTGCAGTGGCTGATGGTATCAGGCAGCAGGTGCCCTGGGCCCTGCCTCACCTTGCCCTGTGACAATGGCACCTCTGCCCTGCCTTGCCTTGCCTCACCCAGCAGGACAAGCCTCCTGCCCACTGCCCCACCTGCCAGAGACCCCCTGGATCTCCCCCAACCCTACCCAGCTCCCACAGGCGTCCCTCCCCACGAGCAACATAGAGGTGATCATGCCCACTTTGGCCACACCCACCCAATCTAGCATGACCACCACAGCCACGGCCACCCAGCCACGGCCACCTGGACCCGGCAATAAATAAGTGGGTTTTGGGTTGCAGTTTGGGCACTCGGTCTCTAAAAAGTTTGCCATCACTGACCTATACCATTTCAGACAAATGGTTGTCCAATCTTCTTAAATACTTCCAGTGTTAGAGCATTCGCAACTTCAGGATGTTCCACTGGTTAATTGTTCTCACTGTCAGGAAGTTTCTCCTTAGTTCCAGGTTGCTTCTCTCCTTGATTAGTTTCCATCCATTGCTTCTTGTCCTGCCTTCAGGTGCTTTGGAGAATAGCTTGACTCCCTCTTCTTTGGGGCAGCCCCTGAGATATTGGAATTCTGCTGTCATGTCACCCCTAGTTCTTGACATAGCTTGTCATTTTCTGCTTCCTGTCCTACAGGCTCAGCTGATAGCACAAGCCATCGGGCAGGTCTTTAGTGTGGCTTACCAGCACTTCCTGCGGGCCAGCGGCATTGACCCCAGCCAGCTTGGCTCCACGGAAGACCAGAATGATGATGACAAGGATACTGACCAGATCGAGGGAGAGCAGCTATATAATGGAGATCTGGCTCACTTCTCCAAGCAAGAAAACTGTAAGGAAGTAAGAACAGAGAGGAGATGTTTTGCCAGAGGGAAGGGTGAGGGAGGGGGCGCACTGGAACCACATACCTACCACAGAGGAAATGGTTGCCCATCTCAAATATACTCATTTGTTGGGTTTTAGAATTGACCAATGGTTGGGAAGGCCACTTTATCTCCACCAATCTTATCTTGTCCTGATTAGCCCTCTGATGTTGGACTACAACACCATGATCACCCAGACTGCAGTTGGCTGGAAATGATAGAAGCTGTCGTCTGCCACACCCATGGGCTTTCATTGGCAGGAAACACATTATTTTCACAGTTTTGCTGTTTGGTTGCACTTCAGGCAGATGCACCAAGACAGGATCAAGACAATAAAACGGTTGTTTTGAAAGGCATTCCTCCCAGGATTATAGTGAATGGAGAATGAGAAAATCTTCAGTTCTGTGCCCCAAGATCAGGGGTGGGCAAGTATGGCCCCTTTAAAACTTGTGGACTTCAACTCCCAGAATTCCTGAGCCAGCCATGCTGGCTCAGGAGTTCTGGGAATTGAGGTCCACAGGTCATGAAGGGAACCATACTTGCCCTCCCCTGCCCAAGACAGTTTATAACAGGGGTCTTCAAACTTGGCCCTTTTATGACTTGTGGACTTCAACTCCCAGAATTCCTCAGCCAGTGTGCCTGGGTGAAGAATTCTGGGAGTTGAAGTCCACAAGTCATAAAAGGGCCAGGTTTGAAGACCCCTGGTTTATAAAATGCATTGGATTTGATAAACCTTGGGAAAAATCTGTAAATAGTCATTAATCTACAACGGATCATCAATGGGCACCCATTCATACCCTGTAGACATGTGACAGCATTTTGGGTGCTTGATAACCAACGCACATTTATAACTATTTGCAGCATGGATCACGTGACCACATTTTGTGACGTTTTTGTCGAAAACTGGCATTTACTTCTGGTTTTCAGCAAAAGGGCCCCATAGCAAACAATTGGTTCATTTAACGACTCTCATAAAACAGGTTATAAAATCGGGCCAGTCATGTGGGTGACCTGCTTTACAACACATCATGGCTTACGACCATAGTGGGCAGGCCCCATTACTTTTGTAAGTTGAGGACTTCCTGTATTGTGTCACATTTTATGGTAAGATGTTCCACTAATATTAATTGATAAAAAAATAAATGATCCTGATAGCCAATGGAGGATCACTTAGGTTGTTCAGTTGGCTGCCTCCATTTTGTCCAGGGTGAGAACACGGCAGGAATCTCCAGAATGTTGCATTTTTTCACCAGACCGTAAATTTTTACCCCAGAGGGAGTGGTTTGACAGTTTTCTGACTATAAATGTTCTTGATACAGGAAGTGGTTCTGGAAGAGTAATATCCAGAAAACTGCTAGTCTCCCTGGAACAGACTTAATAGTCTTGTCCTGAAAAAAATATTCTCCTCAGAACAATTCCTCTGGATTTTTTTTTTTAACTTTACACAGCAAAGCCTTACCCAGGTTTTTTTGTTTTTGTTTTTCTTCTCAGCAAGTTATTTTTTCAAATAAAATAATACTTTCCCAAAGTGTGTGAAACAAAGACAAGAGGATTAAGCAGCAATAGACATATTTTCTTTCAGTGGGGGAAAAAAAAGACTCATTGGGGCAAAATAATTGTGTCCCAACCTGTAACGAAACACTCCGAGGTTTGTCAAGCCAGAGTGTGAGCAACAAAGGAAAGTGTAGAACCCACCTGCTCTGTTGTGGTTGATTGCAATTCCTTGTTCTTCTCTGTCCCCAGAGCTTCTGAAATGTATGACAAATTGCTGATTTCCAGTTGCACATATTTTCCGGTTTTTTTAAAAAAAACAAGTACGTGCTAAAATAGCTGTATTAAGCCTTTGGTATGTTTAGCAGATCTGGTTTCACACATACACTTTAACCTCTTGGAGGTTAGGTAGTATGTAAATTTAATATAATTATATATGCAGCAAGGTGAAGTCACAGCTGCCAATTCTTTAGCTGGTGTTGACCTTTATTTACATTGAGTTCTTCCCAATAACTTAGGATGTTGTAAAGTATTGGCATAGTATATGCATGGATCCAAGCAATCTTGGCGTTTTGCCATTGACAATGGAAATATCGTCAATGTGCAGATTTTCTAAGTGTCATCCAAGATTTTTTGGTATGTCTGGAAATTCTCAATCATCCTTTTGGTTGTGCCAAAAGTCTTCTCCCAAAAACCAAGAAAGTCCAGTTGTCTTTTGGAAAAGAACCGTTGGGATTTTGGGGTATGGCACCCAGTCTGCCGATAACCACTTGGACCACAATATCTGATTTATGCCATAATCTTTCAGCTTTGATTTTCCAGCCTTGATACTTTGTGATCTCCAATTCTTTGTCTTCTATTCTACTATCCCCTGGTATCGCCATATCAATTTTCCACATTTTTGCCTTTTCCGCCACAGTTAAATCTTGTCAGTTATGTGCCGAGACTCTTATTAGTTTGTATTTGGAAATCCCACGTTTTAACGTGTTCATTCTGGATTATTTTTCAACTCTGTGTTCCTATAGAATTGTTATATTGTAGTTATTTATATTGAAATTTGTTGCACAGTCAATCAGCCAGACTGGATTTGTCATTTTTTTTATCCACCTATTGGCTACTTTTTTAAAAAAAAAAAAGCCGCCACAGCCACAGGAGATTAAAAAAATAACCTTCCATGTCCCCTATTCTGGTCAGATATATAATAATAAGATTTGGAAGCACGTAAGTCTGTTCCCACCTTCCATCAGCTACACAGGTAGTCCTTGACTTACAACCATAATTAAGCCTGGAATGATGGTTGTAAATTGTGACAGTTGTAAAGTGGGTCACCAAATGACTGGACATGTTTTTATGACAATTAAGTGAATGCCACAATTGTTAAGCAAACCTATTGTTCGCTTAACAGACTTTTTTTTGATGGAAATTGGACATAAATGCTGGTTTCCAGCAAAACTGTTAATGTGGGCTGGTTGCTAAGCATCTAAAATGTGGTCATGTGGCTGCGGAGGGAGGGAAACTGAACTTGGAACTTCAAAACCAGATAAGCAGTTTTTGAGGGGTTTGTCCTAATTTCCAACAGTTGCCAAACTGGCTGAGGCATTCTGGGAGTTGAAATCCAAACCTCTTCAAATAGCCAAGTTTGAGAAACACTGCTTTGGATTATAATAACAGTTCTGGATTTTGAGGGCACCTCAAAAGGATGAAACACTTCATCTCTCTTTCTTTCAGTCCAATAGATCTCTCCTCTGCTGTTTGGTGTCTCTATACAGGTTGCCATCTCCAAAGAGAAGGGTGAGATCCTAGGTCTGGTGATTGTGGAATCTGGTTGGGGATCCATCCTTCCCACTGTGGTCATTGCAAACCTGATGCACAGGGGAGCAGCCGAGCGATCCGGCAAGCTGAGCATTGGGGACCGCATCATGTCCGTCAATGGGACGAGCCTTGTGGGCCTGCCCCTCGCCTCATGCCAGAATATCATACGGGTGAGAAAGCGAGGCTTCGATTATTAAAGGAGAACATTTATTACCTTTTTGCTTGAGCAGAGCACATCATGAGAAAGGCAGGGCTAGATGAAACAAAAGCTGGAATTAAGATTGCCGGGAGAAATATCAACAACCTAAGATATGCAGATGATACCACTCTAATGGCAGAAAGTGAAGAGGAACTAAAGAGCCTCTTGATGCGGGTGAAGAAGGAGAGTGCAAAAGTTGGTTTGAAACTCAACATTAAGAAAGCCAAAATCATGGCATCCGGCCCTCTCAATTCCTGGCAAATAGATGGGGAAGAAATGGAGGTAGTGACAGATTTTATTTTTCTGGGCTCCAAGATCACCTGAGATGGGGACTACAGCCAAGAAATTAAAAGACGCTTGCTCCTGGGGAGGAAAGCTATGGCAAATCTAGACAGCATACTAAAAAGCAGAGACATCACCCTGCCAACAAAAGTGCATATAGTCAAGTCCATGGTTTTCCCAGTTGCAATGTATGGCTGTGAAAGTTGGACCATAAGAAAGGCTGAGCGCCAAAGAATTGAGGCCTTTGAACTATGGTGCTGGAGAAGACTCCTGCGAGTCCCTTGGACTGCAAGGCGTTCAAACCGGTCAATCCTAGAAGAGATCAACCCCGACTGCTCTTTAGAAGGCCAGATCCTGAAGATGAAACTCAAATACTTTGGCCACCTAATGAGAAGGAAGGACTCACTGGAGAAGGGCCTAATGCTGGGAAAGATTGAGGTCAATAGAAGAAGGGGACAACAGAGAATGAGGTGGCTGGATGGAGTCACTGAAGCAGTAGGTGTGAGTTTAAATGGACTCCAGAAGATGGTAGAGGACAGGAAGACCTGGAGGAACTTTGTCCATAGGGTCGCGATGAGTCAGACACGACTTCGCAATTAACAACAACAAAAAGAGAAAGCACCCCTCAAATCAAGTGAAAGGTCTTCAGATTAAGGCTGGATTCTCAATGATCAGATGAGCATCCTGCATAGAGCAAGGGGATTGACTAGATGACCTCTAAGTTCCCTTCCAACCGTGTGATTTTAGGATTTTTTCCGATCCCTGGGGATCATGTGGGCATATTCATTTAGCTTCCTGGCAAGAATGCCCTAGAACAGAGGTCTGCAAACTTGACAATTTTATGACTTGTGGACTTCCAACTCCCACAATTCTCCAGCCAGCTATGCTGCCTGGGGAATTCTGGGAGTTGAAGTCCATAAGTCTTAAAGGTGCCATGTTTGGAGACACCTGTCCTAGAAGAAAGGCAAATCATATCTCTATAGATGTGCTCTGCCATTCCTCTCTCTCTCTCTTTTTTTTTTTTTTAGAATATTCTTTTTTCACTTCTAAGTCTAGCCTCCAGCCCTGGGATTTTCTCATATCTGCAAATTCATTATGTCCTGTTTGGGTCTTTTGGCCATAATAAATATTACACCCATTCATACCTATTAATTAAGCCCAGCCCTGCTTAGCCTTTGAACCCAAACCAGTTTGTCCGGCCCGCAAAAGAGATAGTAAAATTGTTGTTGTTCCCAGGCTGAATACGTTGTACAAAAGCAAAGATTGTGGCTGATGATCTCCTCTAGATTTTGTGGAAGCAAGATAAAGATAGTCCTTTTTTAAAAAAATAAGTTTTATTAGTTTATAGTACACAATACAGTGAAAATACAGCAATAAATAGCAGGAAAGATAGGGAAGGGAAAAGGGAATAGAGAAGGGAGGGAAGGGAGAAAAAAGAAGAAAAAGGCACTGACTTCCAACTTCCTTTGGTGCAGTAAAATAGAATTTCAACATCAGACCTCAACTTTTTACTTTTACAAAATAACATAAACTTTGTTGTTCTTAGTTGCAAAGTCCTGTCCGTCCATCGCAACCCCGTGGACAACGTTCCTCAAGGCCTTCCTGTCCTCTATCATCTTCTGGAGTCCATTTAAGTTCACGTCTACTGCTTCAGTGACTTCATCCAGCCACCTCATTCTCTGTTGTCCCATTCTTCTATTGCCCTCAATCTTTCCCAGCATTAGGCCCTTCTCCAGTGAGTCCTTCCTTCTCATTAGGTGGCCAAAATACTTGAGTTTCAACTTCAGGATCTGGCCTTCTAAAGAGCAGTCGGGGTTGATCTCTTCTAGGACTGACCGGTTTGATCGCCTTGCAGTCCAGGGGATTCGCAGGGGTCTTCTCCAGCACCATAGTTCAAAGGCCTCCATTCTTTGGCGCTCAGCCTTTCTTGTGGTCCAGCTTTCACAGCCATACATTGCAATTGGGAAAACCATGGCCTTGACTATACGCACTTTTGTATCAAATCTGTCTAATTGGTAAAACCCAAAATCAAAGTTTCATTTTTTTTCTATCCCAAGCACAAAGTCCAGAAGTGGTTTCCACATAGCAATAAAAGTATTTGTTTTCTTGAATCCGTACAGTCAATTCAGCCATCTCTGCTAGCTCCATAGAGTTTTTGCAACCATTCCTCCGTTGTGGGAATCGATGTAGTCTTCCATTTCTGAGCATAAAGTACTCTTGCTGCTGTCAACATATGTAACATCAAGGTTCCATATATTTTTTTTCAGATCTTTGTCCATTAACCACAAAAGAAAAGTCTCTGGTTTTCTTTCTTTCACTTTAAGAATTCTCTGTATTAACGTATAAACCCTGCTCCGATATTTTCTTGCTTTATCACACGTGCGCCATAAATGGTGGAAAGTCCCTTGTTTACATTTACATTTCCAACATTCATTTGAAATGCCTTTATACATACAAAAAAGGTATAAAAATGGATAAAGGTAATCCTTGACTTATGATTGACCAGGCTCCATAAGTTATGAGATTCTAAAGCGACCCGATTTTACAACTTTTGTGGCAGTTGTTAAGCAAATGCCACAGTGATTAAACAAACCAATTGTTTATTATGCGCTAGTTTTGCCAAAAATCAGAAGTAAATGTCGGTCTTCGGCAAAAATGTCATGAAATGCAGTCTTCTTCTCCAGGAGGATCCCTCCACACCTGGGCCTTTAGGTCTCCCAGTAGAGGCCCCATCCCCACTGTAACTACATCCATTCATGTATTGCTAGTCAACGTCTTCCAGCTTGCCAAACTAAAGCAGACGCCTTGCACCATTTAACATACAGAGGTAGTCCTCAGCTTACGACCACAATTGAGCCCAACATTTCTGTTGTTAAGTGAATCGCTGCAATTGTTAAATTAGTAACACAGTTCTTAAGTGAATCTGTCCCCCCCATTGACCTTGCGTGCCAGAAGGTTGCAAAAGGGGGTCACCTGACCCCAAAGGGTGATATGTCGAGGAACACCTGTACGTGAGAACTACTAGGGAGGAGCCATCTTCACTCTCGTTCTCCCACACCAACTAGCTAAAGTTGGCTATCTCTTGCTCCTCTGGAATGCAGCCCTGGGAATCTGGAATGCGTTCCATCACACCACCTCATTTCTGGCCCTGCCCCCTTCACGTTCAGACCTGTTAGGGAGGTGTCATCAGCTCCCAATAGCATCCACTTATAATAAAGTTGGAAGGGATCTTGGAGGTCATCTAGTCCAACCCCCTGCTCAGGCAGGAAACCCTACACCATTTCAGACAAATGGCTGTTCAGTCTCTTCTTAAAAACCTCCAGTGTTGGAGCATTCACCGCTTCTGGAGGCAGGTTGTTCCACTGGTTAATTGTTCTCACTGTCAGGAAGTTTCTCTTTAGTTCTAGGTTGCTTCTCTCCTTGATTAGTTTCCACCCGTTGCTTCTTGTCCTGCCTTCAGGTGCTTTGGAAAATAGCTTGATTCCTTCTTCTTTATGGCAGCCCCTGAGATATTGGAATACTGCTATCATGTCCCCCCCTGTCCTTCACTTCGTTAAACTAGACATACCCAATTCTAGCAACCGTTCCTTATATATGTTTTAGCCTCCAGTCCCCTAATCATCTTTGTTGATCTTCTCTGAACTCTTTCTAGAGTCTCAACATCTTTTTGACATCGTGGTGACCAAAACTGCATGCAGTATTCCAAGTGTGGCCTTCCCAAGGCATTGTGAAGTGGTATTAACACTTCATGTGTTGTAGGAGGGAATGGGGAGGGGTGTCTCTTGAATTAGAGCAAAATGGTCATTTTGGGGTTTGCCAAATGACAGGATTAGCATCATTTAGCATGGCATTTCTCAATTTTGGTCCTTTTAAGATGTTTGAACTTCAACTCCCAGAATTCCCCAGCCAGCAATAAACTTACTTGCTGTTGGTGGAGGATGTTGACCTTAATTTCGGGTCAACCTGATGGGTTTTGTTTTCTTCCCAGGATTTGAAAAACCAGACTGAAGTAACCCTCAACATCGTTCATTGCCCTCCTGTCACTACAGCAATCGTTCGAAGGCCTGGCACAAAATATCCCCTGGGTTTCTCCGTGGAAAACGGCATTGTGAGTAATCTAGGTAGATGAGAAAAGGAAGTCTGTTGAGAGGGAATCCAGAGTACAAGTGGCTCCATATCAGATGGACTAGGCCAGGGATAAGCAACCTTGGCTCTCTTATGACTCGTGGACTTCAACTCCCAGAATTCCTGAGCCAGCCGTGCTGAGGGGAAAGGGAGAGGTTTCCAAGCTGAGCCATGCTGGCTCAGGAATTCTGGGAGTCGAAGTCCACGAGTCATGAAGGGGCCATAGTTCCCCCATGCTGGCTCAGGAATTCTGGGAGTTGAAGTCCACAAGTCATAAAGCGGCCTAGGCCTAGGCCAGAGGTAGGCAACCTTGGCTCTCTTATGGACTTCAACTCCCAGAATTCCTGAGCCAGCCGTGCTGAGGGGAAAGGGAGAGGTTCCCAAGCTGAGCCATGCTGGCTAAGGAATTCTGGGAGTTGAAGTCCACGAGTCATGAAAGAGCCACCGTTGCCTATCCCTGGCCTAGGAGGTTTTTGGAAATCGGGGATGGGTGTGCCTGAGCAAAACTTTGAGGCACAGGTAGGCAAGGCCAGCCATACCAGTGGCATTTTTCCCTGTGCCCAGATCTGCAGCCTCATGCGTGGCGGGATTGCAGAACGTGGCGGCGTCCGCGTGGGACATCGCATCATCGAGATCAATGGGCAGAGCGTGGTGGCTATGCCGCACGAGAAGATCATCCATATCCTTAGCCAAGCGGTCAGCGAGGTACGTGCACAGCATGATTCTCTAGTTGTGAAAAGCCCTATTGTGAAAAAGCCACACCGAAAGGGCTTCCTCTGTCTTCTTTCTTCCAAAGGATTTCAGCGTGGGGTTCTTGATGGTTGGCTGAGAATTAAGAACAATTCAAACAAACAAACAAAAAAATCAGACGCACCTAACTTAGCAAATTTGTGAAAAGGCTTTTGGAACCAGGGTTGATTGCAAACGCAAGTACAGGCAGTCCTTGATTTACAGCCATTTGTTTAGTGCAGGGGTCTTCAAACTTGGCCCTTTTATGACTTGTGGACTTCAACTCCCAGAATTCCTCAGCCAGCATGTGCTGGCTGAGGAATTCTGGGAATTGAAGTCCACAAGTCATAAAAGGGCCAAGTTTGAAGACCCTCGGTTTAGTGACTGAATTTTCAGCAGCCCTGGAAAAAGGACTTATGACTATTTTTTATACTTATGATCATTGCAGCAACCTCATACTCACGAGATCAAAATCCAGATGCTTGGCCACTGGTTCATATTTACGGTGCTTGTCCTGTCCCATGGTTATATTGAAACCTTTTGAAACCTTCTAACTTAACAACTGCAGTGATTTACAGTTAACAAGAAAGGTCGTGAAATGGGGCAAAGCTCACCAACTGTGTTGCTTAGCCACAGAAATTTTGGGCTCAGTTGTGGTCGTAAATTGAGGACCGCCTGTACTGTATCAACCATCTGAAGTGGCAAAGGCAGGTTGAGTCTGAAGCAATAAAGCAGAGTCTCAGTAGAAACGCTTAGAGCTGATTTGGGGAAAATCTCTGAAAAAGCTACAACTACAATTAGGACTGGAATGTCCATTGCTAAGAAATGCAGCCATTAAGCGAGTCAGGCCCAATTTTTGCTACGGTTGTTAAGCGAATCACATGGTCATTAACCAAATCTGCTTCTCCACTGATTTTAATTGTTGGAAGCTGGTGGGAAGGTTGCAAGTGAGGATCACATGATCCCAGAAATGCTGCAACCGTTGTAAATACACGCTGGTTATCTAGTGCTCAGATTTTGATCACATGACCAGGGAGACACTGCAACGGTTGTAAATGTCACGTTTTTTCAATGTCAGGATGACTTAAGCAAACGGTCGTATACCAGGGACTACCTATATTAAAGAGTATCTTGGACAAGCCATCACACAGTCAGGAGGCAGACATTCAAAAACTCCACTTTGATTGTGTACAGCAGTGTTTCCCAAACTTGACAATTTTAAGGCATGTGGACTTCAACTCCCAGAATTCCACAGCCAGCATTGCTGGCTGTGGAATTCTGGGAGTTGAAGTCCTCATGCCTTAAAATTGTCAAGTTTGGGAAACACTGGTGTACAGGATAAGTTGGGACAGAGAGATTGAGGTCGGCCCTTTGAAACAGGATGGATCAAGGAACAGATTTGGCGGGGATTCTTGGAACGCTGCCTAGTTCTCGTGTATAATCATCGGATCCTGAAAGCCTAAATTGAAATGGCTGTGATAAGAAAAAAAAAGAGAGGACGTAGCCGGCAGAAGGGAGGATCTTCCCTTACCTTTTGCAGTAAATATGGGCCAGTGTTTTTCAAACTTGGCAACTGGAAGCTAGACGGACTTCAACTCCCAGAATTCCCCAGCCAGCATTGGGAATTCTGGGAGTTGAAGTCTGCCCAGCTTCAAGTTGCCAAGTTTGAAAAACACTGATATAGATCAGGGGTCCCCAATCCCCAGACCAGTACTGGGCCGCGGCATGCCAGCAACCGGTCCACAGAAACAAGCAAGGCCCCATCCACACATAAAACCACGCACCCTCCAGTCCGTGGAAAAACCTCTCTCCACGGAACCGGTCCCTGGTGCCCAAAAGGTTGGGCACCTCTGATGTAGATCATATGGCAGCCATTTTGTGACCAGGCCACATCCTCCCTCCCAACCCTCCCCATGTGAACCCTAGTGTTATTCAAAAAGTATCCTCCTTCATGTCCTCCTTTTCGATATTTGGAGACTAATCTGCAGGGCTTTTTTTCCCCCTCATAGAACGCTCAGAACGGCATTCCGGCACCTTTTTTTGATGTTTTTTTCCCAACTTTTGCATGAGCTGTGCTACTCCCACTATTGGCTTTCGAAAGCCAATAGGAATTGCTGCTCAGCGTGCCAAAACACCCGGTTGGCAAACTTTGCAGATGCAAGTAGTCTGTATTATTGTTGGAATAAATAAAATGTTTCTTTTATTTACGATATTTTTTCTTCAATTTATTTGTGTCCTCCTTTTCGTTGTAAAAAAGTTGGTCACCTTACTAGTGTGCCATTACTCGGCTTCAGAGACGCCCCCCTGACTTGGTTGCACTTCTTCTTCCTTGTAGGTCCATATCAAAACCATGCCAGCCTCCACCTATCGTCTTTTAACTGGCCAGGAGCAACCGATCTTCCTCTGAGGGGCTTTGCCGTGGCCACCGGCTTCCCGTGGCTGCTTCCTACATTTGCTGCAACTCCCAGATCTGAAGTCTGGGCTCGGTGCCCTGATTCACAAGAGCTTCGTGTCTGTTTCTGGTGCACGAACCACCCAGCCACTGTTGTTGGTTTCCTTTGCTGGGGAAATTTATCTGGGGTGTGAACTTGGAAGTTGTGCCTGTTGCTCAAGGTTGGCTTCTATGACTAGAAAGCAAGAGATATTGGAGATTGAACCTTACACTTCAGTGCTGTGCTGTTCCTGAACTAAAAAGGATGAACACTAGACTCTTATCACTTCCAGGGGAGAGGAATGGTGCAGGGTGGAAAGAATTCCTTATTCATTTAAAAAAAAAAAATCCTGAAGATTGCAAAGCAGGTGGAGATATACATTTTCCCATTTCTCAAGGTCTTCTCTGTGACAGAGCCTTTTTCTTAAAACAAAATAAGGGAAATATGAAAATATAGCATTTGGTAAATACTCTTTGAAGTGGTTCAGTCCAGAATCAGGATGCTCCCATTGTTGTCATGATTGCCTGGCCAATTTACAAGATTCTGCCCAGCAAGATTTAGGGTGCAGGAGACAATCCACCCTGCTCTCCTTGGCTGTGGGGGATCCAACCCCCCCAAATTCATTTCTGCAGTGATACCAGTCTCACCTTTAGAAAATGGGGCAAACTCTTCTGATGTCTGGACTTCAATACACTGCTGACAATTCTATAAGTTGCTTGGGAACTACTGTATGGATTTTGTTGCTTAAACTACTAATACAAACTTCAAGACAACCAAAGTACTAAATTTCCCAAAGCATATCAGAGAGGGAGAGAAAGTACTCTCTCTCTCTCTCTCTCTCACTCACTCACTAACTCACTCATTCTCACTCTCTATTCTCTGCACCAAAGATTAGAGAAATGGCTATTCTTTGCTTTTCTAAAGCATCTTCTTGCTTTGACTTGAGAATGGGAAGTGTTGTAAGAGTTGATACCTTTTGGCAAGACAATCCCACGTTAAGCAGCTTTAACAGCTGAAGTTTGAACTTGTTTTGTAAATGTTAAAGTAACAGCAGAATTACAAGCTTCTCTCTAAAGCAGGGGTCTTCAAACCTGGCCCTTTTACGACTTGTGGACTTCAACTCCACGCTGGCTGAGGAATTCTGGGAGTTGAAGCCCACAAGCAGTAAAAGGGCCAAGTTTGAAGACCCCTGCTCTAAAGCTTTCAGAAATGACTAGGAAGTCTTAAAAGTTCTGGTTTGTTTTACCTTATGTGCTAAGCCTGGGTCAACATGTACTGAACCCCAGTTCCAAAAAAAGAAGAATAAAATCCACAATGTTGTGTTTGCATTGTTGTCCAAACTTTCTTGTGAGATTTGGGTGATTTTGTAGAAGTCTGCTTTTCTTTTTTCCCTGGGCCTGCATCTTGGGGGGTCTGACCTCTTGTTTTAAGCAATAAACCATGGTTAAAAACCACAGTGGCTGAATTCACACATTGCACTGCAGTGAACTAAGGCAAAATCAGCTTCTTTTGCTTGTGGTTTCAAATTTCAGATAATACATTGGAAGAATTGTTTCCCAGCTCAAAACCTCTTGAGTCACTGAAGCAGTTTATGTAGGTTTTGCGTGCGTGCAAACTGTGAGAAGACTATCTGAAGCAACACGACAACTGTTTTGAAATGCTGATTGGCATTGAGTTTTGCAACACACCTCACTCACTTTTTTTGCAAGCTTCTGTCCAGAGGCTCACTTCTCAAGGCTGTGTCTTTTAAAAAAAACAAAGGAACCTGCTGGTTCTTATAAGGGGGGGGGGAAGGAGAGAGAGAATCAGTTTGTAGAAAGAGAAAAGCTAGATTTGTCCAATATGCTTGATTAGGGACTCTTGGGTAATGTATATTCACTGCCTTAAGGTACTTATAAAAGTAATAAAAGCAGAATAAAAATCTAATACAGGTAAAAAAGATGTTGAGACTCTAGAAAGAGTACAGAGAAGAGCAACAAAGATGATTAGGGGACTGGAGGCTAAAACATATAAGGAACAGTTGCTAGAATTGGGTATGTCTAGTTTAATGAAGAGAAGGATGAGGGGGGATGTGATAGCAGTGTTCCAATATCTCAGGGGCTGCCCCAAAGAAGAGGGAGTCAAGCTATTCTCCAAAGCACCTGAAGGCAGGACAAGAAGCAACGGATGGAAACTAATCAAGGAGAGAAACAACCTAGAACTAAGGAGAAATTTCCTGACAGTGAGAACAATTAACCAGTGGAACAACCTGCCTCCAGAAGTGGTGAATGCTCCAACACTGGAGGTTTTTAAGAAGAGACTGGACAGCCATTTGTCTGAAATGTATAGGGTTTCCTGCCTGAGCAGGGGGTTGGACTAGGTGACCTCCAAAGTCCCTTCCAACTGTACTATTATTATTATTATTATTAATCCCCTACTTATAGCCATTTGTTTAGTGACTGAAGTTACAATGGAACTGAAAAAACTGATTTATGATCGTTTTTCACACTCGCAACCATTGCAGCATCCCCACGTGATCAAAATTTGGATTTTTTTTAAAAAAATAATATTTTATTAATTTTACATTTGAATATTTAAAAAGCAACGTGGTGACTGGGTTAATTGATAGTTCAATAACAAAATCTTTAGTGAAAATCTCAGGTTACAACATCAGATATTTCTTCTCTTTTTCCCTTAACATTTACTGTCTCGTATTCAAGCTAGTAGTACATTTCTAATTATATCAACTCAATAAAAACATCATTATTACATTTATCAGTAAATGTTTAGCTTATACATATCTTAATTACATTCCATCTTCCTAAACCAGTGGTTCTCAACCTTTCTAATGCCGTGACCCGATAATACAGGTCCCCATGTTGTGGTGACCCCCAAGTAGGTGTGGCCACCAATAAGAGGAAGTAGGACAGCTAGGGAAATGGGAAAAAAATGGCGGACAGCGTGGTTTGGCGACCCCCGTGAAATGGTCATTCGACCCCAAATGGGGTCCCGACCCACAGGTTGAGAACCACTGTCCTAAACAATTTGGATTCTTCTCTCATAGTTAAGGATGGCTGCCGTGTCCGGTGGGGTGTCATGTGATCACTTTTTGCAACTTTCTGACAAGCAAAGTCAATGGGGAAGGTAGACTCACTTAACAACCAGGTTACTAACTTAACTGCGGTGATTCGCTTAACAACCACACCAAGAAAGATTCAAGATGGGGCGAAACTTACTTAACTGTCTTGCTGAGCAGTGAAAATTTTGCACTTAGTTATGGTTGTAAGGTGAGGACTACCTGAAAATAAATAATGCAATCTGCATAATTGCCTGCACCTGGGTACTGTAGAGAAAGGGACTCAAACCATCTGGGATTTGTGGACTTCAATTCCCAGAATTCCTCAGCCATCTACGAAGTCCACAAGTCTTAAAGTTCCCAAGATTGAAGACCCCTGCATTGCCTAATTCTATATTACCACTTCTGCAGAGCTCCTGATCTTCAGAGCATAAGCCTAACATCCCCTAAAATTTAATTCGTCTGAGCTAAAATGTCAACCCTGACAAAGGGCGTCTTGCCAGCAATGATCACTTCCTGACATTATTTCAAGACTTTCTGTAGTCTTCTGCAATCCTGATGGGAGCAAAATTTTTAATACGGGTAATCCTCGACTTACGAGCACAAGTGAGCCCAACATTTATGTTGCTAAGCAAAACATTTGTTAAGTGCGTTTTGCCCCATTTTACAATGTTTCTTGCTTACAGATGTTAAGTCACGGGTCTTCAAACTTGGCCCTTTTATGACTTGTGGACTTCAACTCCCAGAATTCCTCAGCCAGTTTAAAAGGCCCCCTCATAAAAGGGCCAAGTCTGAAGGCCCCGGTGTTAAGTGAATCACCGCTGTTGTTAGTAACATGGTTGTTAAGTGAATCCTGCGTCCCCCATTGACTTTGCTTGTCAGACAGTCGCAAAAGGGGATCATGTGACTCTGGGATGCTGCAAACTGTCGTAAATACGACTTGGTTGCAAAGCATCTGAGGTTTGCTCATGTGACCAAGAGGATGCTGCAACGGTTGTGTGAAAAACGGTTATGTCTCTTTTTTTCAGTGACATAATTTTGAACGGTCACTAAATGAACTGTTGTAAGTCAAAGACTTATCTGTATATAAAACCCAAATTAGCAGTTCTGGACATTTTGACAGCTGGTTTTGCTATCACTGTTAAGCCATGCTGTCTCCTTTTTTTGTTACTAAAGTGAAATAATGACCAAGAGTATTACTAGAGATAATACTTGCATTGGGTTAATGAGTTTGAGGTTATAATTGTACTAAGATTATTCATCCTTCAGGGTTATATCAATGCCTTTTCTGTCTCCTTGACCAGCGTTTCTCCACTTTGGCAACTTGAAGATGCGTGGACTTCAACTCCCAGAATTCGGCTGGGGAATTCTGGGAATTGAAATCTATGCATCTTCCAAGTTGCCGAAGTTGAGAAACGCTCCCTCAAGACTGCCTGAACTGATCTGAGCATTTGCAAAAACCAAGTACTGTTCGTTGCCAGGATATTGCTTAAATTAACAAGGAGACCATAAAATACCTTGCTTTTTTCCCCCCTTCCAAACCAGCAAGTCGGTCAGCATCCCACGTTTTGTCTTCTTTTCGACATTACTAACCGAAAAAAAAAGATCCGTGCGACTTAGCTGAAAAGGAATGCTTTTAATACAAAAGGCATAAATGATGGAGGGCCAAGTCACGGCTCCTCCATCTTCACTCATCACATACGGAGAAGGTTGTCATGTACATTAAGGCAATATGTCAGATTCCCTCATCCTAAGCTGCTCCTTGTCAGCGGGCGCAGAAAAATACAATATGGGAGAGAAATCCCAAATGGATACAGATAAAAAAGTAATTAAGCGTGCTTAATACTCTTCCACATTTTTGATTAAAGAGGCAGAATTAAATCTCCCTGACCACCACATTGCAAGTTATAAAAGGGAGTTATAAAATTCTAGGGAACCAGAACAATAGCGGCCCTAATAAGGTTTATGTCAACTTCTGACAGTAATGCTCAGGCTCCATTACAGTAATAATTCAAGGACTATCTATACCAGTGGTGGCAAACCTATGGCACGGGTGCCACAGGCGGCACTCAGAGCCCTCTCTGTGGGCACACATGCCCTCACCCCAGTCCTAGGCCTTCAGCTGGGTTTTATAAAACCTTTTCGCTTTAGGCCTCTGCTGCCGTGTGCAAAAAAAAAAAAGTTCAATCAATCAATCAATCAATTTCAACTTCTCACGGGGAAAAAAAAGATCTTGCAAAGTTGGAATTGATTGATTGAACTTTTTAGTCCCACCCAGTCTGCCATTACCACCGCAGCCACGTGTGGCCCATTACCACGCAGCCAATGGGCCACACCCACTCAATGGGCCACACCCACTCAATGGGCCACACCCACCCGGCACCCAATGATGCATAAGTGGGTTTGGGGTTATAGTTTGGGCACTCGGTCTCTAAAAGGTTCGCCATCACTGATCTATACCATAAATGTGTAGCCTACCAATTGAACTTTTTTTTTTTTTTTAAAGCCAAATTGTGAATGATTTCAGATAGGACTGAAGAAGATTTTGGAGTTATATAATAGTAGAAATTGGCAATCTTGTGAGATTTCGGCCTTAATTTGCGGTCGCGCGAGATTATACAGCGACACATTAGGTCTGTAGTAAACGGTGAGGAAAGGGCTGTTGACCTTAATCATATTTTTGTTGTTGTTGTTGTTAATTACGAAGTCGTGTCCGACCCATCACGACCCCATGGACAACGTTCCTCCAGGTCTTCCTGTCCTCTACCATCTTCTGGAGTCCATTTAAATTCACGCCTACTGCTTCAGTGACTCCATCCAGCCACCTCATTCTCTGTCGTCCCCTTCTTCTATTGCCCTCAATCTTTCTCAGCATTAGGCCCTTCTCCAGTGAGAATTTAAAAATTTAAAATTTTTAAAAAGATAAAATTTAAATTTAAAAAGATAAAACATGGAGTGTGGTTTTTATCAGCAAAAATAGACCTCCAGTCGGGAGAGGCAACACGCAAGGTCTAGCTTTAAAATTCTTGAGACATGTGAATGGATGTAGGGCGGTTTCTTAAAAGCATCGTGCATGAAGTGAGAACACGAGGTGGAAGTTCTTAGCCTTGAAGAAGTTCTTACTTGAAGTATAAAAGTGGCCTAACAATGCTGTGTATCAGTATTTCTCCATCTTGGCAACTCAAAGATCTCTGTACTTCAACTCAAAGCCAGCTGGATTTGAAAGCTGGCTGGGGAATTCTGGGAATTGAAGTCCAGACATCTGCAAGTGGTTGAGCTTAAGAAACATCGATGTATATGTAGCTTGAAGGGCCTTATTCCTGTGAAATGGATCCAGAATGAAATAAAAAATGGTTGCAAATCCCTTCTGAGCCGTATTATGAGTTTGTTCAGAAGGCCGGTGGAAATCCTTTGACCTTGATCAAAGGGCAGAAGTAGCTTGAATGCACCAGATATCCAGCTTGAGATGAAACTGCCCAAAGAAAGGATGGTGGAGAGGATTAACTGAGGATCAAACTTCCATCCAAGGTGGCTTGCTCCACCTTGGCTGCTCTGGGGTGTCCACAACTTAAGGCAACAGGGTGAAAGAGAAAAGCAACATTTCCAGAACAAGCATACGAGGCAAAGCTGGTCACGAGGACTTCCGTGAGCTCAAAATCTTGCCAACCCCCCTATGTTTTTAGTGCCTCTATAGGAGCACAAAGGTCTTTGAAGAGTTCCACCAAAATTGGAATGACACGGACAGCTTTGCACGGCCACCCAAGAAAGTTGCAGGAGGCCACGTGGCTGTTGATGTGGTCACAGGTCTGTGGCAGGTCCCCAGTCATAACCATAGTCCTGGTCTGACTCAGAGTCGTAAGACTGCGCATGGGTGAACTTCTTCCGTAGCGCCTCATGTTCGTATTCCCTGACAAAGAGAGGGCAAAGTTGTAAATCAATGCACTGCGTAGATTTAGATATGCGTGTTAAATAGGCAGCATTAATAGAGGGATAGAATTAAGATCTCCTGAAGTAACAGTGCCACTTTACAAAGCCTTAGTATGACCACACTTGGAATACTGCATCCAGTTTTGGTCACCACATTATAAAAAAAGAGGTTGAGACTATGGAAAGAGTGCAGAGAAGAGCAACAAAGATGATCAGGGGGCTGGAGGCTAAAACATGAAGTACGGTTGCTGGAATTGGGGATGTCTAGTTTAATGAAGAGAAGGACGAGGGGAGACATGATAGCAGTCTTCCAGTATCTCAGGGGCTGCCCCAAAGGTGAGGGTGGTAAAACTGTTTTCCAAAGAACCAGAAGGCAGGACGGATGGAAATTAACCAAGGAGTGAAGCACCCCAGAACTAAGGAGAAATTTCTTGACATTTAGAACAATCAATGGAATGACTTGCCTCCATATTCTCGGTGATCCAGGTCACGGTTGACCCAAAGGTGCTTTTTCAAAAGGCAACTGGACTTTTGGCAACTAGTCCTCAAGGAAAAACAAAGTCCAGTTGCCGGATGAAATTGCCTCCAGAATTTGTGGGTGCTCCATCGCTGGAGGCTTTTCAGAAGAGATGGGACAACCATTTGTCTGAAATGGTATAGGGTTTCCTGCTTGAGCAGGGGGTTGGACTAGATGACCTCCAAGGTCCCTTCCAACTCTGTTATTCTGCTTTCTGCCTTCCTAATAGGCCTTGAGATATTTGACTGGAATTTGTCTCCTAGAGAATGCATATTACTTTTTCGAACACCAGGTTGCAAACTTACAATGTACTGGATGGGTTCACACAACATGTTTACCCCAGTTCGTCACCAATCGAATGAGATCAGCAATCTTGGTAACTCATTCTCACTTGCTGGATCAAAAGTCACTACACTTGCCTCATGAAATGATAGGGACATCTAGATTTTTCCAGGCAATATATCTCCTGCAGGAGTTGCATTGGTTATGTTCTTTCTGGATATAATTCAAACTCTATCACGTCTATGGACAGGCTGATTGCATTTTGACTCCAATTGCAGGGTTAAGGAAATTCTTCCCAACCCATCACAAAGCCTTAAATGAAAAGTTTATACCTGATGTCATAACTGCTGTGCCACTGTCCTTGGGGCTGGTGATCACTCTCATGCTATAAGAAAGAGAAAAATATATAGATATAATTGATATCCAGAATGTTGGCTCAAGTATTAAAAAGTGTTCCATTGGGGGGGGAGGGAGGAGGAAGAGGAGGAGAAGAAGGAGAAGGAGAAAGAAAGAAAGAAATAAAAGAAAGAAAGGAAGGAAAAAAGAAAGAAAGAAAGAAAGAAAGAAAGAAAGAAAGAAAGAAAGAAAGAAAGAAAGAAAGAAGGAAGGGGAAGGAAGGAAGGAAGAAAGGAAAAAAGGAAGAAAGAAAGAAAAAAAGAAAGAAAGGGAAGGAAGGAAAAAGAGAAGATGAAGAGAAGAAGAGGAGGAGGAAGAAAGAAGAAGAAGAAGAAGAAGAAAAAGAAGAAGAAGAAAAGAATTATTACATGTGTGCCATCCAATTTTGAGTGACAACAATCAATCAATGAAATTAGAATAAAATCAAAACTATTAAAGCCACAAACCATTTATGAAAATGTTGTCAACAAAACAGCAGGGATTTGTCTAGGTAGTTGCCAGATCAGTGCCTCGAAGGCAGAAAAATAAAGAGGGCTAACTAATATGCTGGACTACATCACCTTTAGGATCCCTTCCAAAGCCAGGCGGCTGACTCTCCTTACCACGTCAATGGGGTAGGCCAGAGCAGCTGCCACACGCTCATTCAACTCCCGATCCAGGCTTTGTTCTGCTGGCTCTGAAGAACGACTCAGAGCTGCCTCTTGATAGGGCTCGTCCAATTCCTGGTCCGTATAAGGTTCTCCTTCTGCGTCCGTTTCCTCATAATCACTGTTGGCCCGACTGTCACAAGTCAGGTCGCCCATACTGATGGCCGAGGTCTGGTTTAATATGTCCAGACTCTCCTCAGCTGAAGCATCCACCTGAAGAAAAAAGGAGTGGAAAATTACAGAGTAGAATGCAGATGGATATTTGGTGAAGGAAGGAGCTCGTACTAAACCAGATCTTGTAGAACAGGGATTCTCAATCCCCCAGGCCAGGGGTAGGCAACCTTGGCTCTTTTATGACTCGTGGACTTCAACTCCCAGAATTCCTGAGCCAGCATAGCTCAGCATGGAAACCTCTCCCTGTCCCCTCAGCATGGTTGGCTCAGGAATTCTGGGAGTTAAGTCCACGAGTCATAAAAGAGCCAAAGTATAGGGTTTCCTGCCTGAGCAGGGGGTTGGCCTAGAACAGGGGTAGGCAACCTTGGCTCTTTTATGACTCGTGGACTTCAACTCCCAGAATTCCTGAGCCAGCATGGCTCAGCATGGCCACCTCTCCCTTTCTCCTCAGTGTGGCTGGCTCAGGAATTCTGGGAGTTGAAGTCCATGAGTCATAAAAGAGCCAAGGTTGCCTACCCCTGCCCCAGGCCTTGGACTGGCACCGGTCCAAGGCCTGCTAGGAACCCGGCTGTGGAAGAGATCCAAGCCCCATCTGCACACGCACGGGATCCAGATAATGTGCGAAACCACCACGCCCTGATCTGTAGAAAAAAAAACTGCCCTTCACGGTACCGGTCCCTGGTGCCAAAAGTTGGGAATTGTTGTTGTAGAACAGTGTTTCCCAAACTTGACAATTTTAAGGCATGAGGACTTCAACTCCCAGAAATCCACAGCCAGCAACGCTGGCTGTGGAATTCTGGGAGTTGAAGTCCACATGCCTTAAAATTGTCAAGTTTGGGAAACACTGTTGTAGAAGACTGATTGGAACAGACTTTGTTTGGAAAATGACTCTTAGCTAAAATATTTTTCTGAGCCGCTTAGGAAGTTTCAGACAAGCTAATCAGAGAAGTCCAATAAAATCAAACGATTCATATCTCATATAAAAATAAAAAAAAATGAAAAGCAAAGTCTAAATAGAAGATAACAAATAACCTGGATTTCGTTTTGTAAAAAAAACAAACAACTACCTTTGGGCTAAAAAGCTAACCTATCGCAGAGCCAACAGATCTGGATGGCAATCCGGATTTTAAAGTTATATTACTGCAGCGTTCCACCTTCTGGAACTTTGTTAAGGTTCTTATGATTCCAGAGAGCACCAGGATGGGGAAAAGTTGATGGGGAACGTTGCCTGGCTGCCTACAAGCTAGGTTAAAATCTCACTCCCACTGGAATTGTGCTCACCCACCTGTTCTTCAGTCATCCAGACAGGACGGGCCTGCTGAATTTGGATAATCTCCTTCAGGGTCTGGTACCAGTTGTTGGACCCCCCGGCCAGGCTAATAGTGGCTGTGAAGAGGTGGCTGCAGTACTTCTGCATCTTGGCGGCCTGCGTGTAGAGGCGCCGCGAACTTTTCTTGGAATCTGGCGCCAGCCACTGCCGCATGGCCTTGATTCCTTGCCGGCTGTCCGGCTCACAAAAGACCACAATGGGGAAATACTGCACATAATTGAGACGTTCCACAGCGGCTGGCGTAATATCAAGCAATGCATGCTTATCCTGTTAAAAGGAGAAGTGAAGTGTCAGAACCACTTCATAATGCCTTGGCAAGGCCACACTTGGAATTCTTTATCCGGTTTTGATCGCCACGATGTTAAAAAAGATGTTGAGACTCTAGAACAGTGGTTCTCAACCTTTCTAATGCCGTGACCCCATAATACAGTTCCCCATGTTGTGGTGACCCCGAAGTGGGTGTGGCCACCAATAAGAGGGAGTAGGACAGCTAGGGAAATGGGAAAAAAATGGCGGACAGCGTGGTTTGGCGACCCCCATGAAATGGTCGTTCGACCCCAAATGGGGTCTCGACCCACAGGTTGAGAACCACTGCTCTAGAAAGAGTGCAGGGAAGAGCAACAAAGATGATCAGGGGACTGGAGGCTAAAACATATGAAGAATGTTTGCAGGAATTGGTTAATGTCTTGTCTAGGGAAAAGAAGGACTTGGGGGTGACATGATAGCAATCTTCCAAGGGCTGTCACAGACAAGGGAGAGGGTCAACCTTTCTCCAAAGCGCCTGAAGGCAGGACAAGAAGCAACGGATGGAAACTAATCAAGGAGAGAAGCAACCTAGAACAGTGATGGCGAACCTATGGCACGGGTGCCAGAGGCGGCACTCAGAGCCCTCTCTGTGGGCACACGCATCGTTGGCCCAGTCCTAGGCCTTCAGCTGGGTTTTATAAAACCTTTTCGCTTTAGGCCTCCGCCGCCATGTGAAAAAAAAAGGGGTTCAATCAATCAATTTCAACTTCTCACGGGGAAAAAAAAATCTTGCAAAGTTGGAATTGATTGATTGAACTTTTTAGTCCCACCCAGTCTGCCGTTACCACCGCAGCCACGCCCACCCAATGGGCCATGCCCACCCAATGGGCCACGCCCACCCAGCACTCGACGATGCATAAGTGGGTTTTGGGTTGCAGTTTGGGCACTCGGTCTCTAAAAGGTTCGCCATCACTGACCTAGAACTAAGGAGGAATTTCCTGACAGTGAAAACAATTAACCAGTGGAACAACTTGCCTCTAGCAATTCTAGGTGCTCCAACACTGGAGGCTTTTAAGAAGAGATTGGACAGCCATTTATCTGAAATGGTATGAAGTTTCCTGCTTGAGCAGGGGGTTGGACTAGATGACCTCCAAGGTCCCTGCCAACTCTGTTATTCTGATATTCTGTTGGAATGTCTGTACACCACGTCCTTTTCTCACCTGCTTTGCAACTTGCCAGACGGTGTCCAGTTTGATCACTTTGGACGATCCTCCTTCTCTGATAACACTCTCTAGAAAAAAACGAGAGAGGGAGAAAAGAGAGCTGATCTGAGAACACAGATAGTCCTTAACTTACGACTGTTCGTTTAGCAACCGATCAAAGTTATGAGGGTGCTCAATCAGTGACATAAAACCAGTCCTTACACTTACAGCCATTAGGGCTGAGGAATTTGGGGAGTTGAAGTCTGAAAGTGGGAGAAGACTTAAAAGCCATCTTAAAGTGGCCGAGTTTGAAAAAAAACACTGCATTCCGGGGGATTTCAAGGCACAGCTAGAGCACTGGAGAGTCCAAATGGGAGCTGAGATCCACCAGGTAGGAAATGCTGCGTGTCATCCCTGACGCCCAAGCCCGCTCACCTGCAATCTGAAATTGATCTGGCATCTCCGTGCTCAGCTTCTGCATGGCGATATCAGCAATGGGGCCCAGGATCACTACAGGACGCTTAAAAGTTGCTGCATGAGAAAAGACATCTTGTAAACCAAGTTTCTAGTCCACAAGAGATTAGGAGAAAGACATCAGAGGAAGTATTTTCTTCTTTCTTTTAGGGTTCGACGCCCTTCAAAAAACTCATTTGACGGCGCTTAAAGCAATGGAACATTTTCAGAGTTATGTGCGCAACTGAAAAAAGTAGTCAGGTAGTTTAGTGACCGTTTGAAATTACAACAGCACAGGCAAAAAAGTGACTTATAACCAGTTTTCACACCTTATGACTTTTACAGCATCCCCCATGGTTACATGATCAAAATGTGGGCACTTGGCAACTAGGATAACCATGGTGGCGCAGTGGTTAAGAGTGTAGCAGGCTACTTCTGCTGTCTGCTGGCTGCCTGCAGTTTGGCAGTTCGATTCTCACCGGCTCAAGATTGACTCAGCCTTCCATTCTTCCGAGGTCAGTAAAATGAGGACCAAGATTGTTGGGGGCAACAGGCTGAGTCTGTAAACTGCTTAGAGAGGGCTGTGAAGTGGTATATAGGTCTAAGTGCTATTGCTGTTGCTATTCTGAAGGCAAGCTGTTCCACGGGTTAATTGTTCTGCCTGGTAGGAAATTTCTCTCCTTGATTGGTTTCCATCCATTGCTTCTTGTTCTGACTTCAGGTGCTTTGGAGAATAGGTTGGCTCCCTCTTCTTTGGGGCAGCCCCTGAGATATTGGAACACTGCTATCATATTATATCCCTAGTCCTTCTCTTCATTAAACTAGACATGCCCAATCCCTGCAACTGTTCTTGGGAGAGTCATGTGATCATCTTCCAAGCTGGCTTCCAACAAGCAAAGTCAATGAGAGAAGCTGGGTTCACTTAACGAACGCGTGACTCACTTAACAAATGCAGCGATTCCCCCTACGTGTGCGAGAAAAACTCACAAAACAGGATGGGACTCGCTAAACAACTGCCGTGCGTTAGCAATGGAAATTTTCTGGTCCCAGTTCTGGTTGTTAATCAAGGGCTAGCTGCAACGAAAAGCCACATTGCTTTTCTCCTTTTGCTACTACTACAAGCACCTACCTTCCTTGAGTACGACCTTCTCGTATGGCGGGTAGTGGCCCTGCTTGGTGAGGGTAGAAAGATCTTCCCGGCTTTTACGCAGCATCCGTTTGGCTCCCCGCAAACCTCGAAGTTTCCAGAACTCTGCTCGAGCCCCTAAAACGCTGGAGGTCTTCGAGGTCGCTTTGAGAACCGATTCCAGACTGGCAAATTGTTCTGCCCTGGGGTCAAAAAAATAGATAGATTACATTGACAGACAGACAGAGATATGGATGCGATAGATAGATAGATAGATAGATAGATAGATAGATAGATAGATAGATAGATAGATAGATAGATAGATAGATAATTAAATATAAATATTAATATAAATATTAATATTAATATTGATAACAGAATAACAGAGTTGGAAGGGATGTTGACGGTCGTCTAGTCCAGGGCTTTTCAACCTTTTCACCCATTGTACCACTTTTAGGATATGGCAATATCCGAGTACCACCAGTCGCCTAGCAAGGGGTCAAAAACTTGATGACCAAAATAAAGGAAAAAAAATGAAGTACAGGTAGTCCTCGACTTACAACAGTTCGCTTAGTGACTGTTCGAAGTTACAATGGCATTGAAAAAAGTTGCCCCAAGCCACAGCTGAGCAAGACACCTGCCTGCCCGCCCGGCAGAGCTCTTCCTCCTGTCCGAGGTTTTCATTGTTGTGAGCATTTCTGTTGAGGATTGGCAGTGGGGGTGGGGTGGAGGTGTGTTTGGTTTTTATTCCCACCATGTGCTGGGTGGTTGCAGCAGGTTTTGGTCACTTCACATGACCCTGGGACACTGTGACCATCATAAATATGAATCAGTTGCCAAGAATCTGAATGTAAATCATAAAACCTTGGAGATTCTGCAACATTCCAGCTGATTGGCGCTTCTTCTGGGCTCAGCAGAAGCGCCAGGATCAGTGCTGCTTTCCAGCTGATTGGCGCTTCTTCAGGGTTCAGCAGAAGCACCAGGATCAGCGCTGAGCTCCAGCTGGTGCTTCTGCTGAACCCTGAAGAAGCACCAATCAGCTGGAAAGCAGCACTGATCCTGGCGCTTCTGCTGAGCCCAGAAGAAGCGCCAGCTGGAGCCTGGCACTGATCCTGGCACTGCCACTGAGCCCTGACAGCCCTGACAAGCTCAGGCTTGTGCGGTGCTGCCATCGTTTCAGCTCATTCCCCTCCCCCGCTACCACTTTTCTAGGATGGTCGCGTACCAACTGCTAGGTGCCAATGTACCACAGGTGGCACCCGTACCACTGGTTGAAAAGCCCTGGTCGAGTCCAAGAGTAGGCAATCTTGGCTCTTTCATGACTCGTGGACTTCAACTCCCAGAATTCCTGAGCCAGCCATGCTGAGGGGAAAGGGAGAAGTTTCCAAATTGAGCCATGCTGGCTCAGGAATTCTGGGAGTTGAAGTCCACGAGTCATAAAAGAGCCAAGGTTGCCTACCCCTGATCTAGTCCAACACCCTGCTCGAGCATGAGACCCTACGCCATTTTGGACAAATGACCGTCCAGTCTTTTTTAAAAAATCTTAAACAATCAAAAATCTTCCCCTGCAGAAAACATACGCTTCTACCTGCTCTGGTTTGGGATGATGCCCTTGTCCATCTCTTGAAGTTCCTTTCCCATCCGTAGAGCGAGCCAGCTTCCCATCCGGCCCCGATACATGGTGTCTATCACATGGAAGACTTCTCCCCGTGTGAAGCTCAGGGCGGAAGGCGTATCCTTCTCAAAATCAAAGTGGGTACGGATATAGAACGAATCGCCCAGGTTGGATTGGACCATCTTCTTGTAAACTAGGGAAAAGAGACCAATGGGAAGCCATCACTCCCCACTCAGCCCAGCCTACCTTACAGGGATACAGGGTTACATAGATTTAAACAAAGAGAAGAATTCTCCACATACTGTATGGCAGAGGTCCCCAACCTTTTGGGCACCAGGGACCGGTTACGTGGAGAGAGGCTTTTCCGCGGACCGGAGGGTGTGTGGTTTTGTGTGCTGCCTGCATCCAACGGATGGGGCTTTGCTTGTTTGTGCGGACCGGTTGCTGGCATGCCGTGACCCAGTACCAGTCCACGGACCGGGGGTTGGGGACCCTTGCTGTATGGAGATGCTGGCATTTGGAAATAGTAATATGGTACAGGTAGCAATTTTTTTTTAAAAGACATGTATCCATCTTTTCATCCATCCCTCTTTTTATCCATTCATCCATCTCTCTGGTTTTTCAGGGTCTTCAGATGCTTGTCTGGCCAGAGCATATTTGTGGGGCGGTTTCTCTTCGATAGAAGGTTTAAAAAAAGAATAACACAGAATAACAGAGTTGGAAGGGACCTTGGAGGTCTTCTAGTCCAACCCCTTGCTCGGGCAGGAGACCCTATACCATTTCAGACAAATGGCTGTCCTTTTCTTTAAAATCTTCAGTGATGGAGCAGCCACAACGTCTGGAGGCAGGTCGTTCCACTGGTTAATTGTTCTCACTGTCAGGAAATTCCTTAGTTGAACATCTTTTTTACCTCATGGCGACCAAAACTGGATGCAGTATTCCAGGTTTAAGGGTGTTAATTTGCCTATAATCACTTCCCCTAACACAGTGGTTCTCAACCTGTGGGTCGGGACCCCATTTGGGGTCGAACGACCATTTCACGGGGGTCGTCAAATAACGCAGTCCGCCATTTTTTCCCCCTTTTCCTTAGCTGTGCTACTCCCTTTTATTCTATTGGCTTTTGAAAGCCAATAGAATAGATTCTCTTGAATAGAGTCTGATTCTATTGGCTTTCAAAAGCCAATAGGAATTGTCCAGGCTGTCTCTGCCCTGCTGAGCCACCAAAAGTCCCATTCTGCAAACGGTGCTGCACCAGTTGAGTAGTCCTCGACTTACGACCGGTTGAGTAGTCCTCGACTTACGACCGGTTGGGGGTCGCGGCATTAAAAAGGTTGAGAACCATTGCCCTAACAGGAAACACACCCATACGATAAGAGGGAAAGGAAGGACATAAAATCTACCACTGAGGAGTAAATCAGGCAAGAGCCATGTTGCTTACTGTCCTGTTTGTTCTGAACGTGGAACGTCACTTCTTCCCCTGGGAGCAACTCCATCAAGTACCGCACAGCGTCCTCGCGAGTCAAGTTGTGGAAGGGCTTCTCGTTCACCTGCCAAGAGAAAGGGGGGAAAGGGGGGTTGGCCAGCACTGCCCACCTCGCTTGCCCATGCCCATCTTTATTGATCTTATTATTTGAGGTACATTGCCTCGCTTCAGGAAATCAAGGTGGCAGGCAGAGATGAGGTCCACAAACCTTAAAGTGGGTGGCCAAGGTTGAGAAATTCTGGTCTCATCTGTAACTACGTTTTATTGATTGATTGATTTGTATCCAACCTTTATTATTTTTATTGGAGCGGTGCTGTGGCTCAGCGGGTAAGGCACTGGGCTTGTTGTTGGCTGGAAAAGCCGACAGCCCAGGTTTGAGACCCAAGCCCCACGAGACAGGGTGAGCTCCCGCCACCCGAGCCGTTTGAAAGCACTGCCTACTAGAGTCGGCAACATTACCGGAGTAAAATCCGCAGGGACGCCTTTCCCTTTTGTTATTTTTACAAATAACTAGAGGTGGGCGAACATATCCAACACATCTTCCTCCTCCTATTTTTCCCACAACAACCACCCTGTGAGGTGGGTTGGCTGCCCAAGGTCACCCAGCTGACTTCAAGCCTAAGGCAGGTCTCCTGGCGATTGGCCCAAAGTCACCCAGCTGGCTTTTATGGCTAAGGCGGGACTTGAACTCAAAGTCTCCTGATGATTGGCCCAAAGTCACCCAGATGGCTTTTATGGCTAAGGCGGGACTTGAACTCACCATCTCCTGGCGATTGGCCCAAAGTCACCCAGCTTGCTTTTATGGCTAACGCGGGACTAGAACTCACCATCTTCTGGCGATTGGCCCAGCTGGCTTTTATGACTAAGGCAGGACTAGAACTCACCGTCTCCTGGCGATCGACCCAGAGTCTCCCAGCTGTCTTTTATCACTAAGGTGGGGCTTGAACTCAGTTTCCTGATGATGGGCCCAAAGTCACCGAGCTGGCTTTTAGGGTTAAGGCAGGCCTAGAACTCAGAGTCTAGTGCATCACCCATAAGACCAAACTGACTCCCTACACTTTCCTCCCATTACTTATAGTCTTCTCCTTTGGAGCCAGTAACCATCCTGCACATAACCGAGATTCCAGATCCACCAAGATCCAAGATGGTTCATTACCTGAAGGATCTGGTTGCCTTCTTGGAGGCCTTGAATCTCAGCCGGGCTGCCCTCCTGCACGCCAGCCACAAATATCCCGACGTCATTCCCACCTGCCAGACGGAGGCCGATGCTCTTGGCTTTGACAAAACGCACCACCTTCGAATCGGGGCTGTACCTGCAAAAGGTACAGGGTTCACATCCAGGCTCTCTGTCCAGAGGCTGCCGTCCAAAATACAGTCTGCCATTGCGGAACTTACCCTGAAATCCCATCATTTTGCAGGATGGAATTATTCCCTCGGAAATTGTACTCGTTGGTGGGGGATTCCTCGGGATCTAGAAGGGAGTAGAAAGAACCCATGGAATTATTTACTCATCGTATGGCACATTCACCTCACATTTCGATAAGAACACAAGAGAGAAAAATATGAAATCTAAAATGCAGGCAGTCCTCGACTTACAACAGTTGATTTAGTGACCGTTCAAAGTTACCACGGCACTGAGAAAAGTGACTTAGGGCCATTTTTCACACTTATGACCGTTGCAGCATCCCCACGGTCACGTGATCAAAATTCAGACGCTTGGCAACTGACCCATATTTATGACGGTTGCAGCGTCCCGGGGTCATGTGATCCCTTTATGTGATCTTCTGACAAGCAAAGTCAATGGGGAAGCCAGATCCACTTAACAACCGTGTTACTAACTTAAGACCTGCGGTGAGTCACTTAATAACTGTGGGGAAAAAGGTTGTAAAATGAGGCAAAAGTCACTTTTTTCAGTGCCACTGAACGGTCACTAAATGGACGGTTGTAAGTCGAGGACGGCCTGTATAATACAGCAGAATAAGACAGCAGAAGAGAAGAGAAAGAACAGGAGAAAATCACAAGCTACAAAGACCCGCAAGTAGAACAAGTGTGCCAAAAGAAAGCAACAATAGTGCAGATAGCAATAGGCGCCTTGAGTGCAATTCCAAAATATCTGGATGCATCACCTGAACACCATCGGCATTGACAAAATCCCCATCGGTCAATGGCAAAAGGCAGCTTTACTTGAATCAGCTTACATTCTGCGACGATACTTTCAACACTATCAAACGACAACATCTGCCTATCCCTGGTTCTTGGGAAGGACTCAAAGAGTGGACAAAAATGGCAAATCTAATCTAAACATCTTACTGAATGCTTACTGTGCAATCAACCATAATAGTAAAAATAATAGTGACGATGATGATGATGATGTTTGTATTTGCAACTGATCCCAGAAGTGATTTTTTTCTCCCTCAAGAGACATTGCTCATTATCATTGACCTTACAAGAGAAGCTAAGTTCAAGGCACTTACTAGAAACTGGTGGTGAAGTCAACTCTTCCACTGCTGTCTCTTGTCTGCTGTAATCCCTGTTTGATCCGGCCAGGTGGGTGGGATGGGAGAAGAAGACAAAACCCAGAATGATAATTTGAGGGAAACAACAATATCTCAAAGCTCTCCAGGATATTTTTTTTGCAATCATTATTTAAAGCAAGTGTCTCCAACACACTTTTAAGACTTGTGGACTTCAACTCCCAGAATTGCCCTGCCAGTTGAAGTCCACAAGTCTTACAGTTGCCAAGGTTGGAGACCCCTGACTTAAAAGTTCAGTTATGACTATGACATATTTGTTTCCTGTTTTGCAGCCTCAGTGTCATGTATCAACACAAAGAAAGTTAGAATTAGAGCAGAATTAAATCCAAAACAACCCAAACAATCTAAGATAGAAAAAATCACCACTTAAGAGGGGAACAAATAAAAGAATAATACATTTGACAAATCTAGGTTCACTCACAATGAGAGCCAAAAACTTGAAGAGACAATAAGCAAAAAAAAAAGGAGGGGGGGAGGTAAGTATTATCCAATTATGATAATTAAACAGTGATCTTACTACTGTATATCTTACTGGGCGAAAAAGCCATACAGATAGATTAAAAGAACTGCTCACGCAATAAATTATTTTACAAAATATAGCAGCATGCCCAATCAGTGCTATATAAATTGAGTGAGTGAGTGAGTGAATGAATGAATACATTCAGGAAGTTATCTCAGTAGAAACAGGGCAACTATTTCCCCCTTTTAAGCTGAGCTATTAAAGTCCCTGATTTGTGGTAACTTAAACGTATTATTCTTCTTGTACATAATAAGGTTTGTCCAAGATATAACGGATTTAAGGGCTATAGAGGTAGTCCTCAATTTACAACTTTAATTGAGCCTGGAATTACAGTTGTAACTCATTGCAGATGTAGGTCAAGGAATCATGTGACTGGATCCAATCTTTCAATATTTTTTTGTGACGGTCATTAAGCAAGTGCCACAGTTGTTAAACAAATACATTTTACCCAGTGGGTGTTTTGGGGAAAACTGGAAACGGGAAGTAAATGCTGGAAATGGGCCAAAAACATCAATAATTGTGATTTTTGCAAACAGCTGTAAAGGTGAGCTAGTTGCCCAGCACCCAAAATGTGATTACATCACTGTAGTGTCTCTCTCTCTCTCTCTCTCTCTCTCTGTGTGTGTGTGTGTGTGTGTGTGTGTGTGTGTGTGTCATCATAACCGCCATAAGTAGCTGTTGGGTGGTCCATTGTAACTTCAAATATTCATTATGCGATCAGTCATGCTTAGGTCTTGCCCTTAACTTTTCCATCACCCTGGTTATCAATTTGCTCCTAATACTGTGGTTGGAGAATGTAAGCAACATAGTGGCCTAGTGGTAAAGACACTTGCTTCCCGCTCGGAAGGTTGAGAGTTTAATCCTGGGTAGCAGCAGATGTTTCTCTATCAGGGCAGGGGGAAAAAATTGCTGTGAACTCAGTACGGCATCAGGAAGAGCATCCTTCAGTAAATGCTCAGCTCCGTCCAGTTGCTCCAACTCTACTCCAAATTAAGGGTTAAATTTTTTTTAGATCAACCAGGTTACTGCCACCTAGTTGGAGAGGCTAGTTTTAAAATCCGGACAGTGGAAAAATGCTGTGCTTAGGACCACCTGACCTGGGCTGTTAGAATTCAAATGACCACTAGATGGCAGCAAAGAGACCCTAAAATCTCTAATTCTGTTATCATTTTATCTGGATTATTTTTGCAAGCCATTTATGCTGAGAACAGCAACCAACTAAGGCTTAAGGGGAGATTCCTACCAGGGAGGATCTCTTGTCGGAGATTGAGGAGAGTGTGGTGTACTTCCCACAGGAGGGGGAGGCGAGATGTCTGAGCCAAGATCAGATATATCTAAAAAAACAGAAAAGTAACTAGAATTATACAAGGCAGACACTTTGTTCTGATTAGCATTCTCCTACTTAGAAACAGACGAATCTGACAAATTTGTACAAAGCCCAAAGTCATTGTATGATTTGTGTTCACAAACCATGATTTATGACAATATTGTATGTAAACCATCATGGCCATCCATTACGGCCACTACAATAAGCTATGTTTTAAATACATCATTAGTCTGACACTTAAATTTAGCAAAAATCTGTTTGGTTACATTTCTGAATTAAACTGCAGAATGTGGAGAAAACCCTTTTTAAAAAGTCCATTTAAATGCAGGTCAAGACAAGGGAGGGAGGGAGGCAAAGAGAGAGAGAGAGAGAGAGAGAGGTTTAAAACACATAGAATGCAAGAATTAAGGAAATAGAGCATATAAACTCAGAGCAATTAGAAGTTGTCTCTTCATAAAGATAATCAGCATCTTAGAGCAGAGGCCTCTTAACCTTTTAGGCACCAGAGACAGTTCTGTGGAGAAATTTTTTTCCGTGGACCTGAGGGGATGTGGTTTCATGTGCTGCCTGCATCCAGCAGATGGGGCTTCACTTATTTGCATGGCCCGGTTGCTGGTATGCCACAGCTCCGGTGCTGGTCCATACACCGGTGGTTGAGAACCTTTGTCTTACAGAAAATACTCCCCTCACATAGCAGGAATCCAAGAAAATTGGGGAAAACATTCTCTTAATAAAAGGAGTTTTGCCTGCTGCTTGGAAATTCTGTGTTTGCAAAACACTGTTTACCTTAACTATTAATTATTGCAGAATAAATCACTATTAGAGGGGTCATTTAACACAGGGGTCTTCAAACTTGGCCCTTTTATGACTTGTGGACTTCAACTCCCAGAATTCCTTAGCCAGGCACGTGTGCCTGGCTGAGGAATTCTGGGAGTTGAAGTCTACAAGTCATAAAAGGGCCACGTTTGAAGACCCCTGACTTAACACGTTTAAATAAAGCTTGGTGTAAAGATCACATTAGCTCGGTTCAGAATACAGTAATGTATATCACTAACAAAGCACACTTTGACTCAGTGTGTCGTGTGAACTTTGTCAGTGAATTCTTGAGGACTGCTGGGTGGCTTGCTGATTGCCACTCTGGCCTGATGTGTGTGTCAAATGAGATATAGCATTTCTTCAAGATTTCTGGCTTATTTTTAGTTTCTTTGGGGGCTCTGTGTACAGGTAGTCCTTGACTTTATGACCACAATTGGGCCCAAAATTTCTGATGCTAAGTGAGACAGTTGTTAAAATCATTAAGTACTACTGCAGTGTCACTTAGCAACAGCAATAGTACTTAGACTTATATACCACTTCATAGTGCTTTACCGCCTTTTCTAAGCCAGAGATCACCAATCTTTCTTGATTGGTGAATCAGAGGGAAAGGGAAGGGGAGGCATTTTATGGGGCCGCGAGTATGCGCATGATGCAAACGGGGCAGGGCTAGCGCTTGCATGATATTCGCTAGCACTGCCCTGTTCTTATGCACAGCGCCCTGTTTCTGCCCCCTGAGGTGCGGCATTGGCCCATTTTTGCACAGTGCAGTGGCATCCCATTTTTGCACCCGTGATGCAGCAGCAGCCCATTTTTGCGTCCCATGGCACAGTGGCATCCCATTTTTGTGGCCCGTGGCACAGCAGTGTCCCATTTTCATTCCCTGCAGTGCGGTGTCGGCCTGTTTTTGTGTCCCGAGGCGCGGCATTGGCCCGTTTTTGCATCCTGAGGTACGGCGGCATCCTGTTTTCACATGGCACGGCATCCTGTTTTCGCGTCCCACGGCTGAGGCGCCGACCTGTCCCGCGGCTTGGTGGACAGCAGCGCACGGCCCACTATCAGGCTGTGGCCCACAGGTTGGGGACTCCTGCTCTAAGCAGTTTACAGAGTCAACATATTGTCCTCAACAATCTGGGTCCTCATTTTACCGACTTCGGAAGGATGGAAAGCTGAGTCAATCTCAAGCCAGTCAGGATCGAACACCTGGCAGTGGGCAGAGTTAGCCTGCAATACTTCATTCTAAGCACTGCGCCACCACTTAGCAACTGCTTTCGTTAACACGTAAGTTGCCAGTCCCAATTGTGGTTGCCTATACACTAATCCATCTCTATCTTCATCCACTTCCCTATAGGTATGATCTTAAGAGCCATGGTGACTCAGTGGTTAGAATGCAATTATTGCAGGCTAATTCTGCCGATTGCCAGCAGTTCGATTCTGACTGGGTCATGGTTGACTCAGCCTTCCATCCTTCCGAGGTTGGTAAAATGAGGTCCCAGATTGTTGGAGACAATATGCTGACTCTGTATATCGCCTATAGACGGATATAAAGCACTATGAAGTGGTATATAAGTCTAAGTTCTATTGCTATTGCTATCTCAGCAACCTCAGGATCCACTTCCATTTTCTCCACCTCTTCTTCCCCACCCCAGTTTTTCTCCAGAGTCCCCCCTCACCGTCCAGGTGGGAACTTTCCGTATCGCTGTCTCTCACTTGAGGGATGTTGACCAAGAATTGGCTATTATCACGTAAAACGAGTAAGGTAAGTTTTCCCTCAGACTGTTCGATCAGCTGCCGTGTCTCTTCCAAAGACATATTTTTGCTGACAACGCCATTGATCTAGATAAGAGATGAAGAGAGGAGTCAGGGCCAATTAATGTTTTCTTTGCTCAAAACCTTATCCCAGCCTTATGTCAGGCAGCACAATGCTGATGAGCCATAGTGGCGCAGTGGTTAGAATTCAGTATTGCAGGCTAACTCTGCCCATTGCCAGCAGTTCGATCCTCACTGGCTCAAGGTTGACTCAGCCTTCCATCCTTCCAAGGTCGGTAAAATGAGGGCCCAGATTATCTGACTCTATGTTTAGATAGTGCTGTAAAATATTATAAAGCGATATATAAGTCTAAGTGCTATTGCTAAGCAATGTTTTGGCTGAGAGGCTCATTTTATTTTTTGTGTAGCAGTGTGGAAGAGGAGTGATGAAAACAAGGATGGGGGGGGGGGAAATCCAGTGAAGGCTACAAGTTCCCCATCTTTATTCAACGTCTTCTGCAATTCATTGTTTTCTAAAAGGGTTTTGATTTTTGCCAAATGCTCACTTGCAAAATAACAGGAAGAGGAGAGGAGGAGGAGGAGGAGAAGGAGGAGGAGGAGGAGGGAGAATTCTGGGAGCTGAAGTCCACAAATCTTAAAGTTGCCAAGATTGGACACCTCTGATGTATACAATGCTCTTATCTCTTATTTATCCCACCACAACTCTGTGAGGTGGGTTGGGCTGAGAGAGAGGGACTGGCCTAAAGTCACCTAGTGGGCTTCCACAATTAATGGAGAACTAGAACTCCCGGTTTCTAAACTAGCACCTTCATATAGATAAGGAACGGTTGCTAGAATTGGGTATGTCTAGTTTAACGAAGAGAAGGACAAGGGGGGACATGATAGCAGTATTCCAATATCTCAGGGGCTGCCCCAAAGAAGAGGGAATCAAGCTATTTTCCAAAGCACCTGAAGACAGGACAAGAAGCAACGGGTGGAAACTAATCAAGGAGAGAAGCAACCTAGAACTAAGGAGAAACTTCCTGACAGTGAGAACAATTAATCAGTGGAACAGCTTGCCTCCAGAAGCAGTAAATGCTCCAACACTGGAAGTTTTTAAGAAGAGACTGGACAGCCATTTGTCCGAAATGGTGTAGAGTTTCCTGCCCGAGCAGGGGGTTGGACAGGATGACCTCCAAGGTCCCTTCCAACTTTACTACTACTATTATTATTATTATCGCTGCACCAAATTGTTTTTCGCATGGTCCCCACAGGTGGCTGGAAATTCTACCCAGGCAATTAAAGAAGGTGGCAGAGGAAGATGTGACCACTTTCCCTTTCACTCCTTCCCTTTCAATTCTATATGGTTATCTGTTTATTTCTTTATATTAATCGTGGCTGAGGGTCCCTTTTCTTTTGGCTAAGTAGCCCCTTAACTGGTGATGCGAATGAAGTGACCGCTCCCTCTGTTCTGCATCATGCCTCAAAACTTTAAGAGGCAATTGTTCAGATGGGCAACTATAAAAATCAAATAAATGAATAAAAAAATAAAATAAAACTTTAAAGATCTCCTATTTGTCCATTATGGTGAGGCTGCCTAACAACTGGGATGGGATGGGATGGGATGGGATGGGATGGGATAGGATAGGATAGGATAAGACAAGACAGGACAGGATAGGACAGGACAGAGTAGAACAGAGTAGAGTAGAGTAGAGTAGAGTAGAGTAGAGTAGAGTAGAGTAGAGTAGAATAGAATAAATAGAATTAAATAATAAATAAATAAACTTTATTGTCATTATATGTATACACAGTATACACATACAACGAAATTTACGTGACACCCAAAGATCAGGTCCCACACATATAATCCCCAAACACACTCCCACCCACCACAATTCCCCACCCCTAAAACCACCCAAACATCCACCCAACAGACCAAGTAATACTGTCCAACAGTTCACTGATGGTGGCCCTTTAGTTCAGTATTAAGTGCAATTATAGCTCTGGGATAAAAACTATTCAGAAAACGTGTGGTCCGAGTTTTAAATGTTCTATATCTTCTGCCAGAAGGCAACAGTCCAAAAAGATTGTAAGCAGGACGGGAAGAGTCTCTGAGAATGTTAAGCAACTTCCTCAAACAGCGAGATTCAAAGATGTTGTCCAGAACCGAACAGGACAGGACAGGATAGGATAGGATAGGCCAGAACAGGACAGAACAGAACAGGATAGGATAAGACAGGACAGAGTAGAACAGAACAGAACAGAACAGAACAGAATAGAATAGAATAGAATAGCAGGGGTGTCAAACTGCCGGCCCATGGGCCGGATGCATCATGGCGAAACTGCGCCCACCCCATTGCCGGCAATGGAAAGAAATCATGATACGACGTTGCGAGTTTTGACACCCCTGCCCCATAGCATTTCAGACAAAAGGCTAGCCAATCTTTTTTAAAAAACCTCCAGTGACTTAGCACCCACAACTTCTAGAGGGAAGTCATTCCATTGATTAATTGTTCTAACTATCAGGAAATTTCTCCTTAGTTCTAGGCTGCTTCTCTCCTTGATTAGTTTCCATCCGTTGCTTCTTCTCTTGCTTTCAGGTGTTTTGGAGAAGAGCTTGACTCCCTCTTCTTTGGGGCAGCCCCTGAAATACTGGAAGACTGCTATCCTGAAACTCCTAGTCTTTCTTTTCATTAAACTAGAAATACCCAATTCCAGCAACCGTTCTTTATATGTTTTAGTCTTCCGTCCTCTAACCATCTTTGTTGCTCTTTTCTGCACTCCTTCTAGAGTCTCAATATCTTTTTTTTTTTTTTTATGATGGCAACCATATAACATTTTAGGGCCATATTTGCTTTTTCAGGGGCACGGCTGGAGTCTATTCTCAGAAATCACAGCAATATAAACAGGTATATCCAGACCATGAGCTATTGTGATAATAGCAACCTTTCCCGACTCACCTTGAGGATAAGGTCCCCTTCCTGTAGGGAATTATCCTTGGCTGCCAATCCTGTCTCAGTGATGTGTTTGATGAAAATCTGGCTCCCCAGCTTCAGTCCGTATTCTTGGGGTTTCAGGAAGGAAAATTTTTAGAGGGTCAGTTAGCAAAATGAACATTGTTCCCATTCATAAAATCGTTCTAGCAATGGGAGGGTACAGTTATTATAGCAGGGGTTCTCAACCTTGGCAACTTGAAGACTTGTGGACTTCAACTCCCAGAATTCCTCAGCCAGCAAAGCTTGTTATTTGTGTAAGGCAGTGGTTCTCAACCTGTGGGTCAGGACCCCATTTGGGGTCGAATGACCATTTCACGGGGGTCGCCAAACAACGCAGTCCGCCATTTTTTTTTCACCTTTTCCTTAGCTGTGCTACTCCCTTTTATTCTATTGGCTTTTGAAAGCCAATAGAATAGACTCTCTTGAATAGAGTCTAATTCTATTGGCTTTCAAAAGCCAATAGGAATTGTCCAGGCTGTCTCTGCCCTGCTGAGCCTGCCAAAAGTCCCATTCTGCAAATGGTGCTGCACCAGTTCAGTAGTCCTCGACTTACGACCGGTTGAGTAGTCCTCGACTTACGACCGGTTGGGGGTCGCGGCATTAAAAAGGTTGAGAACCACTGGGTTAGTTAGAAAAACGAAACCTCTCCAGTTCTGCAGATGTTTGTTGAAACACAGATGTATGGAAACTTTTTGAGGACATTCTAACTGTGGGGAAGAAGATAACAGAAGGTTCTCAAACAACGAGAAGGTGTTCACATGAACTACATGGACATCTGGGAGGCTTGGCTGGTAATGTCATTATATGCTTTGGTTAGATATTAGGATAGATATTGGGATTTTAGAGTTAATTTTCCTTCGCCTATACCATGCCATGTATTCAATAAACCAGTAAGCAAAGCTGGCTGAGGAATTCTGGGAATTGAAGTCCACAAGTCTTAAAGTTGCCAAGGTTGAGAAGCCCTGTATTATAGGAAGCCCAAAATTGGGACCAGAACCTATGTTGTTAAGCCAGGAAGTTGTTAAGTAAGTTATGCCCGATTTTACAACCTTTTTTTTTTGCCATGGTTGTTAAGCAAATCAATGCAATTGTTACAGTGTATTGTGTGACTGTTAAGTGAATCCAGCTTCCCCCATCGATTTTGCTTGTCGGAAGCCAGCTGGGAAGTTTGCAAATGACAATCACATGACACCCCGCGATTTTGAAGCCATTGTAAATATATGCCGCGTGCCAAGCCCCCCAATTTTGATCACATGATTGTGGGGATGCTGCAACAGTTGTTAAGGGTGAGAACCAGTCTGAGCAGGGGGTTGGACTAGATCAGTGATGGCGAACCTATGGCACGCATGCCAGAGGCGGCACTCAGAGCCCTCTCTGTGGGCACGTGTACCTTCGCCCCAGTCCTAGGCCTTCAGCTGGGTTTTATAAAACCTTTTCGCTTTAGGCCTCCGCTGCGGTGTGCAAAAAAAAAAAAAAGGTTCAATCAATCTGTCAATTTCAACTTCTTGCGGAAAAAAAATCTTGCAAAGTTGGAATTGATTGACTGAATTTTTTAGTCCCACCCAGTCTGCCGTTACCACCGCAGCTATGCCCAGCCAATGGGCCACACCCACCTGGCACCCGACGATGCATAAGTGGGTTTGGGGTTGCAGTTTGGGCACTCGGTCTCTAAAAGGTTCGCCATCACTGGACTAGATGACCTCCAAGATCCCTTCCAGCTCTGTTATTCTGTCCTGTTCTGAATGCACAGTTCTGTCACATTCAGGTGAAAAATTAGAATTTTGGCAAATCAGATAGATCAGTGATGGCGAACCTTTTAGAGACTGAGTGCCCAAAAACTGCACCCCCCCTGCCTGCCAACGACCCGCCCGCCTGTGCGGCCACCCACCACCTCCACAGCCTGCCGCAGATCACCCAGGCGGCCCAGTAGTGCCATGGCAACCATGCCCTCCGCCCATGCCCCGCAGCATCAACTGCGCACGACGAGTGTGAGAGTGAAGTCTTGTCTCCGCTGCTCAGCTGCCATGTCCTTGGCTGCGCTGCTCCACGCGGGCTTCGCTCGGGGGCGACTCTCCTCCAGGGGGACTGCTGGTGAGGAGGAAGCCATGGGGGAAGGTGGGTCTGGGGCGATGGTGCGCATGCCCACAGAGAGGGCTTTCAGTGCCACCTCTGGCACACGTGCCATAGGTTTGCCACCACTGAGATAGATATTTTTTTTTTTTAAACCAGGCAACTTTAAGATGGGTGGACTTCAGCTCCCAGAATTCTGCTATGCTGGCTGGGGAATTCTGGGAATGGAAGTCCTCTCCTGTTAAAGTTGCTAAATTTGAAAAACACCGAGCTTGATGAACCACATTAGACAGAGAAAGGGAGAACTGTACAAGTTGTCCTCAACTCACAACCAACATTTCCATTGCTAAACAAGACAATTGTTAAGTGAGCTTTGCCCCATATTATGACTTTTCTTGCCGAAGTTGTTAAGTGAATCGCTGCAAGTTGTTAAGTTGGTAACAGGGCTATTAACTAGTTTCCCCTTTGACTTTGCTTGTCAGCAGGTCACAAAAGATCACATGACCCTGGGACATTGCAACTGTCATAAGTACAAGCCAGTTGCCAAGTGTCTGAATTCTGATCACGTGACTGTGGGGAAGTTGCAACAGTCATGAGGGGGAAAAGTGGTCATAAGTGCGGTTGTAACTTCGAACGGTCACTAAACAAATGGTTGTAAGTCGAGGACTACCTGTACCTTAATTTGGAGGAGCAGAACAGGGTAAATGGGTGAAAAGAAAGTTAGCCATTCACCTTCGCTCTCCTTACGTTTCACCAAAACCGAGCGGACGGGTTTCATCGGCACGTCCTGCCTTGGCAGCCGCTTAAACCCAGACATCAGGACAAGCCCGCTGGTGCTTCCTTTATGATGGTGCCCATTGGCCAAAGGCGCCCTATCAGATCCACTGTCTTGGCTCCGCCTCCGGTAGCCCCTCTCTTGGCTCCGCACTCGGCTCCTGAGGGGCTGCCTGTGGGCGCTATCATTGTCATCATCACGATAATGTCCCGAACTTCTCTCGCTGGACGAGTCTCCATCGTAACCACGGTTATGTTCTGCTTCTGTCCGCTGTCGGCTCTGCCCGGGGTGTCTGCCTGACTCACCACCCCGGTACCCATAGTCCTCATCCGAGTCCTCATTTCTCCCATCCGTCAAGTGTTTAGTAGGCGTCAAGGGAGGCTGGCTTCTTGGCTGGCTGGATTTGGCAACGGGCAAGTGGATTTTTCTGGGTCTTTTGACTGTCTGCAAATAAGAGAAAGTGAATTTGCGTCTGAGATTTGCATCTGGGCCAGTGTTTCTCAACCTCGGAAGCTTGAGGATATGTGGACTTCAAGTCCCAGAATTCCCCAGCCAGAATGGCTGGCTGGGGACTTCTGGGAGTTGAAGTGCAAAAATGTTAAAAGTTGCCAAGGTTTGGCTGTCCGCTTTATGAACTAAATGAAAAAAAACAAAATCTGTGAAAAAACGATTCAAACCCATTATGGGAATTAAAACGGAAGTATGAAAAGTTGCAATTTTTGTAGGCAACTTGTCCATTTTTCCTGTCATGGGGAGGAGAATAATCAACTCCCACTCTTCAAAAATGTTAGCACTATTCTTTTCCTCAACAAATTTTTTTTCAAGCTTGACAGAGATTTTGTCTCAGCATTAAACAAAAACAACAACAACAACCGTGAGGGCTATAAACTTACTGGAACTGAATTTGGATGTAGTTCCATAGTATATAAACTGTATTTAACTTTAATAATAGAGCCAGTTTGGTCTAATGGTTAAGACACCAGACTAGAAAATGGGAGACCGTGAATTCAAATCTCACCATAAGCATTATAGCTTATGGGTGACTTGGGGCCAGTCATTCTCTCTCAGCCCAACCCACCTCACAGGGTTGTGGCTGTGAGGAAAATCGAAAGAGGAAGGAGTATGAGGCATGTTCGCTGCCTTGAGTTATTTGTAAAAATAAATAAGTATAAATATACAGTATGATACATGTAGATTTATCACTCCTATCTTTACAGGACGAGCAAGGAAACCAGAACCGTTTTACATAATTTCAATTTCCACTTTTCTGAGCTGGAAGCTATCATTATCTGAACAAGCCAGGATCCTAAACCAATATCAAACTTGACTTCAGCTTCTCGGCTCATTCTGAGAATAGGTTAACCTTAGCTAATCTTGCAAAAAAATAGAAAAGAACAAACATACTGCCCCTTCTTCAACTGATCTGCCTCATCTGCACTCACAGTGTCCCAAAAGTGTTTTTTCAAAAGGCAACCGGACTAAAGAAGAGAACTGAAGAAGCTTCTTGGATGAGAAGCGAAAGGTCTTCAAGCAAAAACGAAGGAAATCCAGTTCCCTCTTGAAAAATCACCTTTGGGACAACCATGACCTGGATGTCTGAAAATCTCCATAGACACTCACAATATTAGCCAACTTGCCACAAGTTTTCAAAGTGGAGATGGCAAAAGACGAAGATACGTTCTCCATGGAGAGGCCGTTGACCATGGCAATCTTGTCCCGGGTCCTGTCAAATGTAAACAGGGAGATAAGTAAAGGCCTAGCAAGTGAGAAAGAAGCCACGATGTTTCTCTTCTCCTCTTTCTTTTCCAAAAGATTGTAAAAAGAGTATTAAAAATCGCTTCAACTCGCTTTTACCAGATGGGACATCCCTTCCTCCCCCCCCCCAGCCCCATGATCTGTGGATGGAAGAACTTTAATTGTGCTCCTTCAAGAGGCCACAAAGTTCTAGTCCTCATTGTTCTAAATCAGGGGTGTCAAACTCAATTTCACTGAGGGCTGCATCAGCATTGCGGTTGCTCTCAAGGGGGCGGGTGGGTGTGGCCAGAGTGGGTGCGGCCTACTGGGTGGGCACGGATGGAGTGAGTGTGGCCTACTGGGTGGGTGTGGCCAGCTCTAAATCGTTCGCGTCAAGGGGGCCTGTGGGGGCCTGGGCAGGAGTGGGACAGATCTGAGGGTCTCTAGCAGAAGGGCGTGGGACCAGGGCAAGTGCCAAGGCATGGTCCACTGGAGGAGCCTCACTGTTCCTCTCAGGCCATGTGGGGGGGGGGGGCTTATGGAGCTAAGACTGAATGCATTTCACCATAGATGGCCATCACAAAATTGTACATTGGCTCCCGGCTGGCCTGGGCCAGGGCCAAGGCAGAGGGGGCTGTTCCCTCACTGTTTCCAGGATGGCTTCACGGGCCACATGAAATCACTTTGTGGGCCGCATCTGGCCCCCGGGCCTTGTGTTTGACATGTCTGTTCTAAATGAAATACAGCAGCAACGTAGGAAGCTGGCTTACACAGCTCATTTTTTTTTAACCTAATTTTGTTCGATCTTGCCTCTGCTGGCTTCTCCAGCAATGACAACTGGAATCTAATGTAGCCCTATTTAGAGATTCAGAGAAAATTAGACCTGTGGCATATTAGCCAAGGACACAGCCTATTTCCCATCTTGACACATTCTCCATGTAAAAGACCCTTACGATATTTTAAAAATCGGGATGCACATACAACGCAGTCATTTGAGATAGCAAAGAAATGTCGTGGAACAATGTGACACAACGGAATTAAAGTCTCAAGAAGGGGATGCCTCCACCTAAAGGGTATTTATCAACAACAATCGGCTCAGATTATAATTAATGGGGGACTAACAGAGGCCTTTCAAATTGGAAAAGGTACAAGACAGGGATGTCCGTTATCTCCTTTATTGTTTGTTTTAACTTTGGAAATTTTGTTAGTAAAAATTCGTGAGTCAACTACAATAAAGGGAATAATGATAAATAAGAAGGATTATAGGTTGAGAGCTTTTGCTGATGACTTGGTTATTACTTTGTCACAACCGATTCACTCGGTTTTAGAATTGTTACAGATTATAACTCAGTATGGGCAAGTTTCTGGTTTTAAGGTTAACAATAATAAGACTAAAATACTATCTAAAAATATGTCTATAAAGGATAAGGAAATGTTAGTTAACTTGACAGGTTTTGATATAGTTAAAAAGGTTAAATATTTGGGAGTGTATATAACAGCTTCTAATGTAAAATTGTATAAAAATAATTATGAAACATTATGGACTAAAGTGAAGATCTGAATGATTGGAAAAAATTACAATTATCTTTGTTAGGGAGATAAACCACAATTGTTTTTGTTAGGTATTATTGAAGGTTGTAAAGAAACTATTTTAATGTTGAATCTTATTATGGCGGCAAGGCTATTGGTTGGGCAATATTGGAAGAAAGATTCTTTGCCTACTATAGAAGAATGGCCGTTTAAAGTTTCTAATTTAGCAGAAATGGCCAAAATTTCTGCTTACTTGAAAAATCATTCACAAGAAAGATACATCTCGGTGTGGAGAAGATGGATAAACTTTGTACAGAATAAATGTGGGATTAAAAAGTATTATTTAGTTTTTGATTAACTTATAGTTTAAACTGGGAGTTGTTTGTATTTGAGTTAAAGTATTTTAGAGATTTGGTTATTGGTATAGTTGGATAAGCTTAGTTAGAATTTGTTTGTTTATTTTTTATCTTTTTTAACCCTGTAATCAGCTCTGGGAAGTGAGGGGGGGTGGGTTGGGGTGGGGGGAAGGGGGAGAGGGTTATTGTATTGTAATAATGTATTTGTATAAAACTTTTCAATAAAAAAAGAAGAGGATGCCTCCTGAAGCAGAGAGCTTGACCATTTTACCACTTAACAATTATATGTAGTCCTCAATTTACAACCACGATGGAGCCTGGACTTTCCATCATAATGGAAATATGGAAATAATGTTGAGGCACTCATATGACCGACCCAATTTGGCAACCTTTTTTGCAGCAGTCATTAAGTGAACACTTGCAGTCATTAAGCAAATTAGTTCATTCCTAAGGGTGTTGTTTGTTGGAAACTGACCAAAAGGGCAGGTTTTCCAGCCCCCCCCCCAAAATCAGAAAATCACGTGACTGCAGAATACTACAGTTGGTCATAAAGATGAGCCAGTTGCCAAGTGACCAAAATGAAGTCATGTATCTGTTCTGTGTGTGTTGTGTGGGTGTTTGTATGTGTGTGTTTGTGTGCGCCACCTTCACCATCCAGAATCGGATGGTAGGTCCCTTTTGGGGAGGTCTGTTGTAACTTTGAATGGTTGCTAGGCAACCAGTCATAAATTGAGGCCTACCTCTAAGTGCTATAATTAGGAAATATTATTCTGTTTTTCCATCAGACACATCTCAACTAAGGTGGGCACAGTGTAGGCACTGAGTGAGCATGCAAGTTGGTGCCCAATGAGATAATTTAAACAATTCCCGCCCCTCCCCACCCAAAAGCAGCCAGCATGGCCTACCCATCAGTTAAACCAGCGGTTCTCAACCTATGGGTCGCGACCCCATTTGGGGTCAATCGACCATTTTACAGGGGTCGCCAAACAATGCGATCCGCCATTTCCCCCCCTCAGGGGGCAGCACCGCGCATGCGCACCGCGCATGGGGGCGGCGCCACGCATGCGCGCCGCGCATGGGGCAGCACGTTTGTGTGACGGGGGTCGCCGTCACACAAACGTTGAGAAACGCTGAGTTAAACTGTTGTGACATCCTAGAATAGGGATAGGCAACCTTGGCTCTTTTATGACTCGTGGACTTCAACTCCCAGAATTCCTGAGCCAGCATGGCTCAGCTTGGAAACCTCTCCCTTTTCCCTCAGCGTGGCTGGCTCAGGAATTCTGGGAGTTGAAGTCCACGAGTCATGAAAGAGCCAAGATTGCCTACCCCTGTCCTAGAAGGAGAACAGCCATTGCAACTGGGTCTTGGGAGTCCCAGAGAAAATTTTTCATTTTTCCCTGGTTTGTGAGTTTGATGAATTGACTTGTTTTAAGTACTCACTGGAGTCGGCCAACAGCCGGTCCTCCAGGCACCACATCTGATATGACAATAGAGGTGTCGCCATCTGAACTGTTTGGACGATCGCGGCCACCCGAAATGGCAATGCCAAAACCCTTCCGGGGATCCTGGATGAAAGAAGAAAACATTAAGACCTTTTCTTGCATTTCTTATTGCAAGAAAATAGAAAATAACCTAAAGAAGAAGGTATAAGGATAAAACAACTGATATAAGAAATAAATGTAATTTTTCTTTTGTGGGGTCCTTGGTGCTCTGTGAGCTTGGTGGTTTTCTTGCAGATGTTTCATTACCAAACTAGGTAACATCATCATCATCATCATCAAGTTGGAAGGGACCTTGGAGGTCATCTAGTCCAACTCCCTGCTCAGGCGGAGAACCCTATATCATTCCAGACAAATGGTTGTCCAGTCTCTTCTTAAAAACTTCCAGGGTTGGAGCATTCCAACAGGTTGTTCCACTGGTTAATTGTTCTAACTGTCAGGAAGTTTCTCCTTAGTTCTAGGTTGCTTCTCTCCTTGGTTAGTTTCCACCCGTTGCTTCTTGTCCTGCTGTCAGGCGCTTTGGAAAATAGCTTGACTCCCCCTTCTTTGGGGCAGCCCCTGAGATATTAGAACACTACTATCCTATCTCCCCTTGTCCTTCTCTTTGTTAAACTAGACATACCCAATTCCAGCAACTGTTCGTTATATGTTTTAGCCTCCAGTCCTCTAATCATCTTTGTTACTCTTCTCTGTACTCATCATCATCAAGTTGAAAGGGACCTTGAAGGTCATCTAGTCCAACCCCCTGCTCAGGCAGGAAACCCTATACCAGGGATAGGCAACCTTGGCTCTTTTATGACTCATGGACTTCAACTCCTAGAATTCCTGAGCCAGCATGGCTCAGCTTGGAAACCTCTCCCTTTCCCCTCAGTATGGCTGGCTCAGGAATTCTGGGAGTTGAAGTCCACAAGTCATAAAAGAGCCAAGGTTGCCTACCCCTGACCTATACCATTTCAGACAAATGGCTGTCCAGTCTCTTCTTAAAAACCTCCAGTGTTGGAGCATTCACTGCCTCTGGAGGCAGGTTGTTCAGTGCTAATAGGAAGTGGGATTTGCTCTGAGCAGTTTCTATTAGCACTGATGATGTCATCTAATGTGGTAATGAAATGTCTGCAAGAAAACTATGAAGCTCACAGAGCACCAAGGACACCACAGTTTAACCCTGAGCTACAAATATTCTCTTCTATTTCTTTTGTTCTATTATTTATATACTGAGATTAACTCAAGGACTGAGTAAACGCCAGTAAGTCCACAAATTCTAATGAGTGCTTTGTCCCACAGGCGCTTTTTCAAAAGGCAGTGGGACTTTGTGTTTCCTTGCAGACGTTTCGCTTCTGATCCAAGAAGCTTCATCACTTCTGACAGTCAGAACTGAAGACACTCCTTGGATGAGAAGCGAAACGCCTTGAAGGAAAACAAAGGAAGTCCGGTTGCCTTTTGAAAAAGCACTTTTGGGACAACCATGACCTGAATGACTGAGAATCTCCATAGATAATAAACGCTTTCTAAATACAATCAATATATAACAACATAATATTAATTTAATAATGAGTCCACTTATTCCTCATTAAAATAAAAAAAAATAAAATCTACTCTATGAATATCGCAGATACAAAAAGAAAAGGAAAAAAAATCAATATGGAAACTAACATTTCAAACAAGGAAATCTGGAAGTATAAAACACTTGCAGCATGAAGTTATTACTATTTATTCGAGGCTTATGGTGGTTGCTACAATGCTTCTACTTACCCTGTTCAATGTAATGGTATATTGCTCCCAAATGGTCATTTCCTCCATCTCTGCAACCTAGAAGAGCACCAAAAGGGGAAAAAAAATATTGAAAAATCCCAGAATTCTGGAAGTGGAGGGGAACCCAGTATCATATAATCTATTGATTCTGAAACATTTTGCTTTCATGACCCCTTTACATGCTTAAGAATGATTGAGGATCTCAGAGCTCTGCTTTATGTGGGTGATGCCTGTCAATACTGACTGAGAAATTAAAACTGAGAAATGTAAGAATATTTATTAGGTTTTCATAGGAACCGCTGCCACTTTAATAAACACTGATTTAATCCAGCCTCTGTCACGTGCATTAACCACTTAATTCAGGGTTTCCCAACCATGGCGGCTTTTAAGACTTAATAATAATAATGATAATAATGATAAAGTTGGAAGGGACCTTGGAGGTCATCTAGTCCAACCCCCTGCTCAGGCAGGAAACCCTATACCATTTTGGACAAATGGCTGTCCAGTCTATTCTTAAAAACTTCCAGTGTTGGAGCATTCACCGCTTCTGGAGGCTGGTAGTTCCACTGGTTAATTGTTCTAACTGTCAGGAAGTTTCTCCTTAGTTCTAGGTTGCTTTTCTCTTTGGTTAGTTTCCATCCGTTGCTTCTTGTCCTGCCTTCAGGCGCTTTGGAGAATAGCTTGACTCCCTCTTCTTTGGGGCAGCCCCTAAGATACTGGAACACTGCTATCATGTCCCCCCTTGTCCTTCTCTTTGTTAAACTAGACATACCCAATTCCAGCAACCGTTCCTTATATGTTTTAGCCTCCAGTCCCCTAATCATCTTTGTTGCTCTTCTCTGTATTCTTTCCAGAGTACTTGTGGACTTCAATTCCCAGAATTCCCCACCCAGTATGGTTATCAAGGTTTGGAAACCCTGACTTAATCCATCCTTGAAAGAGGGCCATCCAGGATCCTCTTAAAACCTCCAGCGATGGAGAACCACGGGCAGTTGGTTTCCCGTGTTTTTATTTATTTAATTTCTACTGCTGCTCATCTCGGACAAGGGACCCTGTGTGACGACAAATCAATCAGTTGTACAGTTTCTTCTTAAGGAAATAAGGCTGGCAGGGGAACTCTGGGAGTTGAAGTCCACACATCTTAAAGTTGCCAAAGTTAAAAAGCATTGGCGTAGTAGACACATGAAGATTGAGTTTTGATCACCGTTTCATTCTCCAAAGCTTTTTCAACAACCACTGATGCCTTCCTCCTTCCGTTATACCAGTGGTGGCGAACCTATGGCACGGGTGTCAGAGGCGGCACTTGGAGCCCTCTCTGTGGGCACATGTGCCGTTGCCCCAGCCTCGCCTCCCCCTTGCGATCCCCTCTTTCCAGCAGCCCCCCTGAAGGAGAGTCGCCCCTGAGCGTGGCCCACACGGAGCAGCGCAGTCAAGGACCTGGCAGCCAGCCAGCGTAGACAAGACTCTGCCCTCACACCCCATTGTGCACAGTTGATGCTGCAGGGTGTGGGCAGAGGGCGTGACCGCCATAGCGCTGCTGGGCTGCCTGGGCAATTTGCGGTGGAGCCTGGAGGCGGTGAGTGGCCCTGCGGGCAGGCAGGATGGAGGATGGGGGGGACGGAGCGGGGGCGGGGCAGGGGGTGGAGCAGGGGCAGGGCCAGTTTTTGGCCGCGCGGTCTCTAAAAGGTTCGCCATCACTGCATTATACATTCAAGATGGACAGTATTTAATATTTATTTGCTACGTGGGTCTATACATATGTTGTTCATTGTATGTTTAGGTGTGTGTCATGTATGTGTTTCACTTTGAGAGCGGGCAACTAAATTTCATTTTTGATGCGTGCCGTTGTGCCAACAGTAAAAAATGCCAATAAAGGTTATTTTATCTTATCTTTTACAACTACACAGCACCTTCTGTTGCGGCTTTGGAAAAAAAAGAAAAAAGCAATTTAAGAGGTGACCTTGAATATGATTTACCTCTCCTCCTTTTTAAGTTGAAGGGCTGGATGGTATTGATGAAGACTTTTCCTTCAACAAAAGCCTTCATCTGTATTTTGCAGCAGAAAGGTGACACCCGAAATATTTTAAGGAAAGGGAAAGTAGGTCATCTTCCCGCTGAAGCAAATCTTGCCACTGGTTTCTTACAAAAGGAGCCAGAGGAGGACAGACACTTCCCTGCAAACTCCTTGAGGGATTCCGCACAGCTTTTCGTGGTGTATTTATGGAAACAATTCTCAAGGAATTTGCAAGTAGGTGCCCCAGACAAATCTGCCAATGTAATTTAACTGCAAAGGGAGACGTGCCCTTCTGTTGTGCTTTTAAATTCAAAAATGGGATTTCAAAGTCAGAAGCTCAGGCTCTCTGGTGGTGGTGTATTTTCACCGAGAGGAGCTGCAAAATGCCAAGAAAATGCTAACTACAGATGCCCCCCCCCCCGATTCCCATCGTGCAAACCAATTAGCATCACGAGATCTAAGTGTAAAGTAGACAACTCCCTCGAGTCGTGTGCAAGTTCTGGCAACATTTTCTTGGCACTAATTTTTATTTATTTACATCTTTATTTTTATCCTACCTTTATTGTTTATAAATATCATATTTTCCGACGTATAAGACAACTTTCTAAAGCATTCAAAGCAGCTCCGAAGTCGGGGGTCGTCTTATACACCGAGTCATCTTATACGCCGGAAATTATGGTAGTTTCCGGCATATAAGACGACTTTCTAGGCATGCAAATCGGCTCTGAAGTCGGGGGCCATCTTATAAGCCCAGTCGTCTTATATGCCGGAAAATACGGTAATTCAGTAAAATAATATGAATGTGATTTTGCGGCTGCTTTCTTCTAGGTTAATATTAGTGTCAGGTGCGAAAGACCAAATCCACATTGTTGTTGTTGTTAGTTGCGAAGTCGTGTCCGACCCATCGCAACAACCTTCCTGCAGGCCTTCCTGTCCTCTACCATCTTCTGGAGTCCATTGAAGCTCACGCCTACTGCTTCAGGGACTCCATCCAGCCACCTCATTCTCTGTTGTCCCCTTCTTCTATTGCCCTCAATCTTTCCCAGTATTAGGCTCTTCTCCAGTGAGTCCTTCCTTCTCATTAGGTGGCCAAAGTACTTGAGTTTCAACTTCAGGATCTGGCCTTCTAAAGAGCAGTCAGGGTTGATCTCCTCTAAGACTGACCGGTTTGATCGCCTTGCTGTCCAGGGGACTCGCAGGAGTCTTCTCCAGCACCAGAGTTCAAAGGCCTCAATTCTTTGGCGCTCAGCCTTTCTTATGGTCCAGCTTTCACAGCCATACATTGCAACTGGGAAAACCATGGCCTTGACTATACGCACTTTTGTTGGTAAGGTGACGTCTCTGCTTTTTAGTATGCTGTCTAGATTTGCCATGGCTTTTCTCCCCAGGAGCAAGCATTAAATTGATTCATTGCTAAAAGCCTATGGACAGGAATCTTCTCAACCAACAATCAGCATCTGGTTAGAGTTAGGTAAGATTCAATGGCATTAAAGAGGGATTTGGACTTAGTTCATTTGTGGCTACATAAGGATTCTAGGCTGATCCCTCTTATGCCTCTGACCCCAGATTCTGCTATTCCTTCTACAATTTTCTTCATTACCAACCTAGATTTACTGGTGGTCTCCCATCCCCATTCTAATTGCTTTGGTCTTTGAAAGATTGTCTCTATTCATTTATAGAATTTATATGAGCCCCCCATCTCAGCTTTGTGGCACTAAATGATATACAAAAAAGATAAAATACAAAATATTTTTTAAAAATTATTATTGGCTGAGGTCACCTAGGTGTTGCCTCTTCTTGTGACCGTGTTTCCAGAATCTTTTTAAAAATAAAAATTCATCATTTCTTGAACTTTTTTCTCTCAGGACCCCTTTCTACTTTTAAAAATTATGGAGGACTCTAAAAGAGCTTTTGGTTGTATGGGTGATATTTATTGAAATTTATCATATTAAGAACTTTTGGTTGTATGGGTGATATTTATTGAAATTTATCATATTAAGAGCTTTTGGTTGTATGGGTGATATTTATTGAAATTTATCATATTAAGAGCTTTTGGTTGTATGGGTGATATTTATTGAAATTTATCATATTAAGAGCTTTTGGTTGTATGGGTGATATTTATTGAAATTTATCATATTAAGAGCTTTTGGTTGTATGGGTGATATTTATTGAAATTTATCATATTAAGAGCTTTTGGTTGTATGGGTGATATTTATTGAAATTTATCATATTAAGAGCTTTGGTTGTATGGGTGATATTTATTGAAATTTATCATATTAAGAACTTTTGGTTGTATGGGTGATATTTATTGAAATTTATCATATTAAGAGCTTTTGGTTGTATGGGTGATATTTATTGAAATTTATCATATTAAGAGCTTTTGGTTGTATGGGTGATATTTATTGAAATTTATCATATTAAGAGCTTTTGGTTGTATGGGTGATATTTATTGAAATTTATCATATTAAGAGCTTTTGGTTGTATGGGTGATATTTATTGAAATTTATCATATTAAGAACTTTTGGTTGTATGGGTGATATTTATTGAAATTTATCATATTAAGAGCTTTTGGTTGTATGGGTGATATTTATTGAAATTTATCATATTAAGAGCTTTTGGTTGTATGGGTGATATTTATTGAAAGTTACCATATTAAAAATTAAAGTTGATGTGTTCGCTGCCACTATAGTTTCTCATAATTGTTTAATGGGATTCTAGTATGGTATTATTTTTCAGCATAGGCTGGGAAATATTTTTGATTTTGTAGATCCCTGACAGGTTCTTCGGAGACAATTCAGCCCACACTTTGAGAAACACTGAACTAATGCATTAAAAAATGCATTAATTTTTTTTTCTTCCTACTGTTCTTCCTGCAAGTACAGGGCCTGCTTTTTTTCAGATTAACTGAGAATTGATCCATTGGTTGTGACAGGAATTGTGGAACTGGCTTATCACTCTTATCAGTCCGACAATGTCACCCAGCCGGCTTTCATGCCTAAGGCAGGACTAGAACTTACCACATCCTGGTGATTGTCCCAAAGTC